CAGCCCTGGGCTTACAGGCACATACAGGTGTGCCTGGCTTTTGTGTGGGTGCTAGGAGTTCAAATCCAGCCCCTTTGCTTGCCCAGTAAGCACTTTCCCATTGAGCCATCTCCCCAGTCACCCCAAGAGAGTTCTCTTGTGTGCTTCTTCCTCTTGACCCCCCTCCCCCCTCTGGTCTTCCATCTGCCACCTTTGAGAAAAGTGGTTCCCTGGATTGACCCAGCACATTTCACATAGAATGCACGTAGATCGATGTCTATTGGGTTTCAAGGTGAGCTTTGGCGGGAGGGAAGAGGGTGAGGAAAGACCCGAGACAGTGGTTTCCAGGCTCTTCTAACTACATTGAACACAGAAATAGCTTGGTCCTTCCCATCTTTCTTTGTTTCATTTCTTCCCCCGTCCCTTTCTGTGCTCCCTCTTTTTTTTTTTTTTTTTTTTTTTTTTTTAAACCTTTAGAAGAAACACGGAAACTCCCTTGCTCACCCTCCACAAACAAAAGCACTACTCATCACTCTGCCCACTCCTTCCTAGTAGGTTTCTGTGGCGCCCATCTCCAAAGACCATTTGGAGACTCCATGACTTCTCAAAAGAACTGCTGGCCTTAGGTTGGAAAATACATTTCTTTAAAGCCTCGTCCTTAGATGCTGACTATGATCAAGAATTGAGAATGTTTAGAATTAAAACAAACAAATCAAGAGTGATTTTGCAGTGTTAGCCTGCAGTGAAAGGCCTCAGAATTGAGAGGCCTGCCCTCATCTGTCCCTTCTGCTGCTGGACTTGTGCCCCACAAGATACTTCTTGTCATCAGAACAATGACCTCAGCTTTTCCATTCCGACTGTGGTGAGAATGAGTAAGAAATGCGTAACTCTGGAAACAGGACACATGCTCCACACTCACAGGATGGGGAGCTGTTGCTAGGCAACACTTCGCTCTAGGTTGTGAAGACATCCTGAATCATCCGGTGGAGACCACAGGACAGAATGGTGATATTGGTCGACTTTCCTAAATGCGGCCAAGTTCCTTGCTCCTATATGAACTGTCCCCACTGCTGTGGAAGTCACCGCAATCCAAACCTCTGTTTACGACCTCCTTTCCTGATCATATTACTTGTAGTGAGATATTCACTAGCCCCTCTTCTCCCCGCTCTCCCCTCTGCCACCCCCATCCCCCCACCCGCCCCCGCAGCGCTGACCTTTGGGCATGGCCACATGTGCGGACATGGAAGGTGATAAGGGTTAGGTTTGAGGCTCCAAGCTCTCTCCTGCTTCCTGCTTGGTCGCGGAGAGCATCCGTGTGGCAGGGTCAGCATCCTTAGAGCGGGAACCGCAGCATCATCTGTTTCCTGTGTAAGTGCATTTTCCAGGAATAAACTTGAGTTCACCTATATGGTCTAGTGAATCTTGATTCCCACGCCTTTATTTTACCACATCATCATTTTTAGGGGACAAAGGATGAGGATGCTTTTCAAGGCCTCATCCCAAAATGAAGTCTCACTGAAGCACTGGCTTCTCAGTAGCTTAAAAACCAAACTAGCAAACAAACGAAAAACTCCCTTTTTAGAGCCGGGCAGTGGTGGTGCATGCCTTTAATCCCAGCACTCAGGAGAAATCCTGTCTCAAATCACAAAACTAAACAAAAAATCCTAGGCTGGCTTCATATTGGCCATCCTCCTGCCCCAGCTTCCCTATTACTAGGGTTACAGGTATGCTCAACCATACTTGCCCTTCCAAGAGTAGCTCTGTGCAGCAAACAAAAGCTGAGTTAGCAATGGAATTCCGAGCCAGTCCTGGTGGTAGAGACTGGGTGAACCTTGGAGAGGTTCTTGGCTCTTAGGAATGGGCTTTTCCCGTGAAGAAGCCAGCAAAGAGCTGCTTTGTGGTACAACTGGTTATGGCTATTCAGAGACAAAAAATGTTGATAACCACAGGCCGTGGTGCTGTGAAACTGCTGGACACATTGCAAAGCAAAACCAGCAACAGCTGTTTGATGCTTGTTTCCTATTATGAATATCACATTAATAAAGCCAGTACTAAGTAACATAGCAGATGAAAACCCAGCCTCCATTAGGCTGGTTTCATTGAGAACGATGGCTGGGGAATGATGCGTTGTCAGAGTCAGTGAGTATCCTGGTTTAGGTGTTCTGGGGTTGTGTGGAAGGAGTTGCTGCTGTTCTGTGGGGACATTTCCTTAATCTATAACATAAGGGAACTGAGAAAAACCTAGAAGAGTAGGTGATCATGATCAACCATGGGGTGTATATGTACATTTGTGGGGGGGGGGTTACAAAAGCTGATGTAATACTAATGAGGAATGAAGAAAAATCTCACAGGGTCCCATCCTAGGTAAAGAACTGCTGGCCAGGCTACTAATGACTGCTGAGACAGTGAGTTAGCATCTCCCAGGGACGAACCCTCTCTAATTGGTTACCCAATATGAAGCCCTATATGCACACTATATGCACACTATATGCACACAAGCAAAACTGGGCACAGCAGGTTGTATTTATAAATGTGTATGTGCGCGCATGCGTGCCTGCGCGCGCGCGCACACACACACACACGCTTGTTAAAGGAAAAGATGCTCTCAGTTTGAAGGTGAGGGGGGAAATGGGGGGAAAACAAATACTGATGTAAGATAAACACCTTTACAGATGCGGAGCTAGCTCCTTTTGGTGCACTCAGCATCATGGTCTTGCCACACAAGGTAAAGGTCTAATAAGATGGTTTTGCGTAATGGTCCACTCTGCATCATCACCACTGCCATCATCACCATCATTACAGGGTATCATGTATCCCAGAGTGGCCTCAAATACATGGTGTCACTGATAATAAGCTTGAACTTGAGATTGTCTGCCTTTTTAGGGATTGCAGGCATACATACACCACCATGGCGTTATTCAGTGCTGGGGAATGAACCCAAGGCCTTGTGCATGCTGATACCGTATCATAATATATGGACAAATGAAGTTGAGATCTAACTACCTTTCCTAATCAGCTCTGTAATGGAGGAGTGGGGATGAAAACGATAAGGGCTGGGGATCTGAAGTCAGTGGGCTTAATTTCAATCAGACTTTCTTACAGCTCTGCCCTGGACAGGTCACCTAAGTGCCAGCAGCAACTCATACATCCTTAGCCCAACTCTGCATCCTTACTCACTTGTAACTCCAGCCTATGCAAGTCTATTCCCAGTGCCTCCATCACTGCATTTAAAATACACTCCAAAATAGACGTGCCTTAGAGGTCTGGGTTCCCCACAATTCCAAGCTCCTCTTCACCTGCTCTTATGCACACACACATGCGCGTGTGCTCGTATGCGCACACACACACACACACACACACACACACACACACACACACAGATTTCTGTTTTACCAATACATCCCTGACTGATACAGCATCTTTATACCTTATACCCTTAGGAGTTTGAGATACAACAGTTGTATTTGCTTTTCCCAGTTAGCACAAAGGGCCAGGAGCACAGGGTCAGTGGGTATGACTTAAGTCAGGTACTTCCTTTTGCTCTCTTCTGGACAGGTCACCCACACACCAGCCATGATTGCTGAGATGACTACAGCTTTGCCACACACTGGTGTATTGATTTTCTACTGCCACTGTGTGAGATGCCACTTTACGCTTAAATAAAAAATTACTGAATGTTTATGGATAGAACTCAAGTGGTCAACATCTGTATTGAGCCTGGTGTGATGGTTAACTGACAGTTAACTTCACAGGCCTTAGATCACTTAAGAGACAAGCCTCTGGGGATGTCCACTTTAAATGGAGGCAGAAGACCCAAAATACTTGTGGGCAGCCCCATTCCATGTCTAGAGTCCCAGACTGCAGAAAAGGCAAAGGCCAGCTGAGCACCAGCATCCCTCCTCCACCCCCCCCCCATTTCTGACTTGATACAATGTGGCCAGCTATCTCTTGCTCCTCCAGCCATGCCTCTCCCGGCATGATTAACTATAAATAGCCTCTGGAGCTATAAACGCCTCCTCTCTTGAGTTACTATCCCTTTGTGACTTTTATTTTCTTCTTTTTTGACCGGGCTGGCCTCAAACTCATAGATCTCCACCTGACTCCGCCTCCCAAGTGCTGGGATTAATGGTGTGTACCACCACCACCAGGCTCAGACTTGCTTCAAAACTGCTTCTTGTTAGGTACTTTGTCACAGCAAGGTGAGTGGCTAATATAACCAGTGTGGTGGCACATGCTCATAATTTTAGCACTAGGGATACTGAGGCAGGACAATTATGAGTAAAGGCCAGCTTGGGTAGACAGCAAGTCTGAGGTCAGTCATTACTATATTCTAGATATAGTATTTAGATATAGTATCTAGATATAATATCAGTTCTAGAATTGCTTTGTGTCCTCAACAGGATCACCATAGTTTAAAGAATCAACCACTCTTAATGGTTTTATCTTGGGTGACAAGAAAGAAACTTTCTTTTTGGTGTATTGTATTTTGGATACTCAGGACATAGCTAAGCATTACTTGGTCTATTATTAGCATAAAAACTTGGTTGGGACTCAGTTCTGTTGCTCAGCTCAAAAACTGGTCTTTGAAATATCTACAAATTCATCTAGCCAGAAGACTGAGTCTAAGTGCATAGCTGAAAGGATTCTGTCCAGACTTGCTCGCTCTTGTTCAATGGCAGACCCCTAGGGAACTCACCCACTCTCAGATACAAGGTCTTCAAATACTTAACACTTTGTCTACAGCTCAAAAATCATTTATTGTCTTCATTCCAAGAGCATTTTACTGCATATATATATGTATATATATGTATATATTATATATATATATATTTTCCTCCTCCTCTTTCCCCCTTCTCTTCACCCCACTCTGGGAATCTCATTATTTATCCACGAAGTTGGGATTATATTTGATTCAGTCAATCCAGTTGAGATGGCTCAGCAATATGTCAAGCTTTGCCAGAGAGCTCTGGTTCTAGCACTTAGTTGTCCATTTCTGCCTTCTGCTATTCTTCTTTTCGAATCTACAGGAAATTTCTTTTAGTCCTTTTTAGCATCAAGTGAATTGCCAGGATGGCAAAAGAGGCCAACAATGTCAATGCCCCTGTCACTGTGTAAGTAAGCCCCAAGAAAAGGCCACCTCCTCCGATCCATGTCAGGGTGGAAAGAACAACAGATTTTTCCCCTTGGAACGCGGTTACTGGAAAATCTAAGAAGGTCTGTTAAGGACTCGGTATTTATCATCGGTACCATGGCATATACAGCAGATTAAGTTATATACAATTGGTGGTTTTTTCATAGATACAAAACAATTACTCAGTTTCATATGTTTTAACACAGTCAACTAATACTCTATCTTACTAGAATAAAGTAATCAAGACAAGGCTTCCCCTCCACATAGCTATAGTGGAAAAAGGAAATGCTAAAGTATAAGAATCCAGGTGATTTGCCAGCAGCCAGATAGTGAACAGATACCTAACTACTTCGAGGTAGCACAAAGACTATGGGCAATCTTCACAGCAGACTGAAGGCTTCGCTCATGAATCAGAAGACTCAGGAGAGGTCGAGTTCCTTCACAGGCTGAAGAAAGAATCCCTTCCACAGATAAAATTCTTTAAGAAGAACGAGGACAATAATGAAACGCCAGGATGAGCAGTCAAAGAGCTTTGGTGGGAACTCTAAAGGTGGCAGATTTGTTAGGGGTTTGAAACACAGCAGTGTCCCTGTTGCTGGTGAGAAAATGTTTGAAGTGGGTTTGCTATGTAGCATTTTAATGATGTCATCTTCCTGATGCATGTGGCCTGAGGGTTTTAAACATCTGGTGCCTTTTGTAAACGAGACTAATAAACAAACGAAGCCTTCTCATAGCAACACAGAGCACAGAGGCATTTCCCAGCAAAGCTCTTAAAAGGCCGCCAATCTCTTGGCAACATGCTATTTAAAGGCACAAGCAAGCATGTTAGGGACAAGTTCTGTTGCTTTTTTTAATGATAGAATTCTTCATTGTCACCTGGTCCTTGGGTGCTGCCTTACCCCATCTTCCCGTGAGTTCTTTTGAAAGGGAGAGTCCTATTCTCACCTACAGGGCATCATTTTCCCTTTTAGCAGCCGGCACTGCTGTGTTCAAGCTTCAGGTAGGCCACACAGGGGTAGCGCAAGCAGAGGGCTCACACTCAGGATTGAAGTTGTACATGGATCATCTAGAGCTCAGCATTCAGGTATGGCTGTGAGCGGTCACTGAGGAGAGCATGTCTGGAGAGGAGAAACTGTCTCCCTTGTAGGACAAAGTTTCCTTTCCTTACTCCCAACTCAAATTGTAGCAAGGGGTGAAGGCAGCATTTGTTTTTTTTCCTCTGCAGTCTCTTGTTTAGTTTATTGTTATGATAGCAATAAAGTCTCGAGAGATTCAACTCGATACTCATGGGGCAACATTCAGTCTCTGTTTTAAAGCAACTACTGCAAAAGAAAACACAAGGCTGGCGAGGGATGTCACATCAGCAGGGACCTCATAGTGTTCCACACACCTGCTCTAGGAGAAAGAAGAAATCCTGGACACCCGCAGCTAAACACTGAGCCAAACTCCTGGAGATGGAGGAGTGATGAGCAAAGGGGTCAAGACCAGGCTGGAGAAACCCGCAGAAACTGCTGACTTGAACAAGGGGGAGCTCATGGACCCTAGTCTGATAGCTGGGAAACCAGCACAGGACTGACCCAGATGCCCTGAATGTAGGTGTTAGTTAGGAGGACTGGGCAGTCTATGGGGCCTCTGGTAGTAGATCAGTATTTATCCCTATGTCCAATGGACATAGGGATCCCATCCCACATAGAGAGATACTCTCTCAGCCTAGACACATGGGGGAGGGCCGAGGCCCTGCTCCAAATGATGTGATAGACTTTGAAGACTCCCCATGGAAGGTGTCCCCTTCCCTGGGGAACAGAAAGGGGATGGATGGGGGACAGGAGAGGGTGAGGGAACTGGGATTGGCATGTGAAACAAGCTTATTTCAAATCTAAATTTAAAAACATCATAAAAAAAGAAGAAATCCTGAAGTAGGACACAGGGCCAGATGTGGACATTTGCAGTTCACTCTGTGTCATGGCTTTTCTAGTTCAGGACTAGACATTTAGCTCAGTGGAGGAACATTTACTTAATGTGCCCAAGGAACTGTGTCTGATCCCTGCCATTGGAAAAGAAAAGAAGAATTTCTCATTGAGCCTCCCTGGGAGTTAGAGGGACTGTGGATGCGGACAGTTCAATGTGGAGAAGCTCTGTCTTGCTGGGGGGTCCTCTAGAACAATCCTAGCCAGTAATCCTGGCATGCTGTAAGAGGTGTAGATGCCTAATTGGGTAGATGATTCAAAGCTGGGTGAGAGCCTGGCTAAGGAGTCTACTTCCTTTAGGGAAATGAACTCTGAAGACCATAGTTAGTATAAATTATATGTAAATATAGAACTGCTTAAAGATAAGACTTGGCTACATTTTATAGTTAAAAACTTCATAATGTTTTTTAAATCCCAGACTCACATTTGTAATTTTAAATTAGGAGGAAAAATCATAATCCATTATTAGAACATATGTCTCCTAACTTGGCCCGTATGCCTGTTACTAAGACATCAGCTCCCACTGGCAAGCTCTGTACCTAAGGGAGGAAGAACACACATCTGCAGTGCAGAGCCCGCTGCGTTCCTGGCATGCACTGCATCAAGCTGTCCACATCCACACAGTGACGTCTTCATCCAGGAAGCCACTGTCTGCTGGAGGGTCTTTAGCTAGTCCGTAGGTAGGTTTGGTCAAGTCCAGGGGCTTCACATTTCCCCGGGGTGGCATGTGGGAGAGGTGGGGGCTCCCTTGCTCTGACACACTTTTGTCTAAATGTCCTATGGGCTGTGCCAGTGTCTGCTATTCCAGTCTACCTTCCAGATGTTCTTCTCATTATCCCCACCCTCACCCCCCCCCCTGGTAATTTTTTCATTTTCCATCTCATACCACTCTGTATGGCATGCTTCAACTCATGGCTTTAGATGTATAGCTTTACTGTTTATTGGTCTTTCTTGGGGACAAAAATACTCCTTCCCTATTTATCCATACCTGATATTGCTACTGCCTTTTGTTCCTCTAAAAAAAAAAAAAAAAAAGATACATTAAACACATAATTTGGACACAGTTGTATGATGTGTTGTGATAGCTGAAGAAGAAGAGGTCATGTCGAATATGCCACTTCGGTATATTCTTTTGGCTTAGGGCACTTGAGAATCAGGAAGTGCAGGACGGGCATGCTGACCTCCCGGTCTCTTCTGATAACAGAGAGGGGTGAAAAACGTCCGCCGACATTACAGTAATACTTTTTGCTAGGTGTGGGGGCAATTGCTTTTAATCTTAGCACTTAGGAGACAGAAGCAGGAAGATCTCTGTGCATTTGAGGTGAGTGTTGTCTATATAGTGAGTTCTAGGACAGCCAGAGCTACATGGTGAGACCCTATCACAGAATGAAAAAAGGAAGGAAGGGAAGGGAAGGATGGAGGGAAGAAAAGAGGGAGGAAGGAAGAAAAGAACAATGAAAGAAAGAGAGGAAGGAAGGAAGGAAGGAAGGAAGGAAGGAAGGAAGGAAGGAAGAAGGAGATACTTTTACCATCAGAGGGCAACCTGTGAAAACAAATTTGGTTAAACTAACCCTCAGCAGTTCTTCCATAACTGATTCTCCTTTAAAACTCATATGTAAATACGTGACTCGCTTCTTTGTGCCTATTTCTTGGGAGGGTTATGAACTACAATAACATGAACAAAATTTGCATGTTTTTCTCCTGACTCATCAGTCGGGAGATGGAAAGCCCTGAATTGAGGAGGTGGCCTTTTCCTCCTCTGTGTGCATCATTTTAAAATAGCTGTCTGTTTTTCAGCGGTACGTATTTGTCTGGAGGACAGAAACAGAGTCAGAGAATCCAACAATGACTAGTGAGATCTTGCCTTCACTCTGAGACAAGGGAGAGGCTGAGAAGGATACTGTAGGAGATGTTGAAACTGTAGTTACCAGCAGGCAAGCCTTCAACAAAATAGTTCACTCGATTGAGCCGGCGGTACAGTTTTTTGAAAGTGGGAAAGGCAGCTGTCCTCATCCAAACAATTAAGTCCTCGTTGACAAAGCCATTGTTCCCTGGATCATCTGTGTCTAGTTCGTAGACAGGCCTGGTCCAATGCAGGGGCTTTGTACTTCCTGCGGGGGCGAGGGAATGAGGAGGAGTATGGTAGAGAAAAGTCAGCTTTCCCCTTGGTTTCCCCTAGAGGAAGAACTGCATTCACAACGAAAGAGAAATAGAAACTTGACTTTAGAAAAGAGAATGTTGAATATGAAATCATTGATTATGTTGGTTTTTAAACATTGTAAGGAAGAGTGTATGATAATTTTGTAGGGTTAATAAAAGGGAATATCAGGGTTGGTAGGATAGCTCTGTGCTGTCAAGACTGAAGACCCGAGTTCAATCCCTGGAACCTACATAGTGGGAGATGAGAACCAGCTCTCAAAAGTTGCCTTCTGACTTCCCCTACATGCACTGGAGCATACTCATTCCCTGCCCCAGTACACACCCACACTCACCCCTCGATTATATAAATAAACCTCAAAAAAAAAAAAAAAAAAAAAAAGTGGGAAGAAGTGGCTGGCACTGGAATCCAAGGCCAGTGTGAAGCCAGAGACACATATGTTGACTTTGCCCCAGCTCTCAGGTGGGTTTTTCTGCTGAGAGCATTGCTGTCCCCACTCTTCAGAGCACGCTTGAAAAAAAGGACTGCCCTGCTCTGTTCACTAGAGTTTGTTCCAGCACCTGGGACACAACAGGTATTCAGTCAATTATCAATTAACGCTTCCTGAAGGAGTCTTCTTCAATCTGCCAACGTCGATAGGATCCACACTGAATTTCAGATAGCTAATCAACGACAGCAGAACAAGTGAGGGACTTTTTACTACTGTAAGGCTAGTCCTTCTACCTACAGGAGACTCAAAAGATAAATAAGAAGCTTCTTGGATGGGTGTGGTGTCTCACACTTTTAATCCCAGCGCTGAGAGGTAGATACAGAGACAGGTGACTCTGTGAGTTCTCAGGCAGTCAAGGTTACATGGCGAGCCCTTGTCTCAAAGACAACAACAGCAACACTCATAAACAAAAACATCATTCTTCTCCAACTGGGATGGTTCGCTTCTCATAGAACCCCCCGCCCCCAGACACAGGAAAGGTGCTTCTAAAAGCTATACTAAGTCTGGTGTGATTAATGTGCTGGAGTAGTTTATGCCACCCATACTTCCTCTGGAAACAATCCTGTGCTAGAGCATCCTCCTCTGCAAATACCAGGAGCCACCTATTCTGGCCCTTTCCAAGACATCAGTCATTGACTCTAACAAAAAAAAAAAAAAGTGTTTGGGGCTTCCATTGTAGACCCCAGCTATTTACTAGTTTGTTTTGTATCCATGACCCAAGGCGATGTATGCCAGGGATTTAAAAACATCCATTTTTGAAAAGTTTATTTTTATTTTATGTTCCCTGGTGCATATATGTCTGTATGAGGGTGTCAGATTCCTAGAACTAGAGTTATAGACAGGTGTGAGCTGCCATGTGAGTGCTGAGAATTGAACCCCAGTCCTGTGGAAGAGTGGCCAGCACTCTTAACTACCAAGCCATCTCTTCCTGAAATGCAGGTTTTAAGACACCCCTCCCCCCATCACCTTCCAATCCCATCCACTTCCCGTATATCTGGATGTGGTCAGATGCATGGTCTGGTCTGAGACATCAGCTTCATTTTTCAAGTTAATTTGGTTCATTTGTTTTCATTCATTCATTCATTCATTTGTTCATTTATTCACTATTAAACAACAACATTTCCTGTGTTTCCTTTTATTTAGCTATCAAGAGCTAAAACTTGGAATGCACGTTTAATATAAAATTAAGTTCATCTTAATTAAGTTGTTGGAAATGACTCATTTTGGTTGACATCATCCCATCATGGAAACCACAGTATTGTTAGTTATCAAGTGAAATTGTAAGTGAGTCTAAACTTATTTCAAAAGTTTGTGTTTAAAGACTCTATCCAGGCCAGGCGGTGGTGGCACATGCCTTTAATCCCAGCACTCTGGAGGTAGAGTCGGGTAGATCTCTGTGAGTTTGAGGCCCAGCCTGGTCTATAACTCGAGTTCCAGGACAGGCTCTAAAGCTACACCAAGAAGCCCTGTCTTGAAAAACAAACAAACAAACAAAAACAAAATCATAAACAGAAACAAGACTCTATCAAGACAATGGTTTAACTCCTACAGAAGGTCCATTTATATGTCTTTCTGGGAGCATGACTTCATTAAGATTAAATGGAGCTGGGTGTGGTAGTACACACCCTCAGTCCTCAGTCCCAGTACTCAGCAGACAGGGTCAGGAGGATCTCTGTGAGTTCAAGGTCAGCCAGAGTGAGACTATGAGACCCTGTTACCAGAAAATAACAAATGGGTTTACTTCTATATTCACTTTGTTGATGTGTTTTGATATGAAGTCCCTTTCCACATGCCCGAATGCTGGGATGGGCAGTACACTAGCTTCCTTTCACTGTGTGTGCGTGTAAAGGTGTACCTGTGTACATGTGCATGGACATGTATGTGAGCATGTGCATGCTCCTAATAAACACTGCATAGCCTTTTGAGACAGGGTCTCTCCTGAACCTAGAGTACGCCAACTGGCTAAGCTGGCTGCCTAGGGGCTCCAGGGACCTCCCTGTCTCCCCAAGTTCCCTGCCTGCAGAATGAGGATCACAAGTGTGTGTTACCACATCCAGCTTTTCATGTGGGTACCAGGGATCTGAACTCAGGTACTCACGCTGCAGGAAGCACTTTACCTCCGGAGCTCTCTCTCTCTAATCACTAGGTTTCGACTTAAAACTTTTTTTTTCATAGCCAAAGAAAAGGCCTTAATGTGCTGACTTCATCATCAGCACAAAAGAACTGTGAACAGTTAAATGAAACTATTTTACGTGGATGTCTTCAGACAGGAAACTTCAGGCAACACTAAGCCCTTGGGTTTTAATTCCTCACAGAATCAAAGCAAAGTTTTCAGAAAGTCAATCACGACGATAAAAATCTGGCATTTATTACCGATGGTACTATAAACTCAGTTAAGAACGCCAACAGTCAGGCTTAAATTGTTTGCTTTTCTAGTAATAAAAGAAGCGCAAATTTGGTGGAGCGGAGCCCCCGAGTGACGCTAACTTTCTCAGTGAGCAGAGAAAGCAACAGAGAGGAAATGTCCTTAAAGTGGTGTGGCACATGCGCGGAGTACAGGAGTGCCCATTAATGCTACAGCACATTGCTTACAAGAGTATCTTTTCTATGTTGAAAAAAAAAATTCCAAAATACGTACGAGTGACACTTGTGACAGGCAGGTACACATTTCAGCATGCATATCATTAAAGAGAATTTTTGGAATGCCTGAAACTTTCAGCAAGGCTTTCGCTCATCAGCAACTCATGATGTGTTCTACAGTGACCCCAAACCTCCTTTCTTCATTTTATTTAATGTTATTTTATGAGCCCTTTAACTTTGGGTTGCATTTTGTGCAAGACGATTGAAATCTTTTGAAAGTATGCAAAACAGGTAATGTCAGAAATGTTAGGCTGTGTGGACTTTGTGGGCAATGCTTATAGAAAAACTGAGCTTCCAAACAAAGAAACACTAAAGCTTATACAGGTGACAGTAAAGGAACACATTACATAGTGATAATTCAAAATGAGATTCAATGTTTGAATTTTATAATTATGCCTTGGATTATTTTGACTTCTCTAAAGATTACTGGTAGCACTTTTGGTTAAAAAAAAGTCTGTGTCAAAATAAAGTGACATTGAGAAAGTTCAGAATTTATATTGTAGCATCTAAAGTTAATGATACATAAAACATTAAAAGATAGAAAAAAACTGTGATGTAAAAAATGCCTATGAAAATACTTGGATTAAAATACTAGCATACTTCACTACAATGAAATAAAAAAGTGACATTCTCGGATAAAGGGAGTACTACTCAGCAGTAAGAAACAAGGACATCTTTAAGTTTGCAAATGGGCAGAACTAGAAAAAAGCCATCCTGAGTGAGGTAACCCAGATCCAGAAAGACAAACGGTATGTACTCACTCATAAGTCAATACCAGACATAAAGCAAAGTATAATCTGCCTACAATCCAAACCTCAGAGAAGCTAGCTCCCTCTTCCAGAGACAGATGGAAGCAGATGCAAGACCTCCTGGAGTACAATCAAAGTGAGGAAGGCACCATAATATGAACAAAGGAGTCAAGACCATGATGGGAAAATCTGCAGAGTCAACTGGCCAGAGCTAGTGAGAGATCACTGACTCCACAGTGTCAACTGGGGAACCGGCACAGGACCGAAGTGGGACCCCTGGATACGGGTGACAATGGTGTGGCTTGCGGAGTATGTGAAGCCACTGGCAGTGGGACCAAGATCTAACTATAGTGCATACACTGGCTTTGTGGAGCCCTTCTTTAGGGAGAGACACCTTGCTCAGCCTAGACATGGGGTGTGTGTGGGGTCCTTCCTCAACAAGGGATAGCCTTAGGTAATATCCTAGAGGAGGCTTTGCCCTCTCTGAGGAGCAGATGGGAAGTGGGATGGGGAAGGAGGGGAGAGCAGGAGGAGAAGAGGGAGGGAGAACTGGGATTGGACTGTAAAGTATAAGAAATTAATTAATATATAATATAAAAAGTTGAATTCTCCTCTGTACTGGCTAATATCTGAGAGGAAGGAGCCTCAGCTGAAGGGATCCAGCTGTAAGCCATTTTCTCATTTAGTGATCACTTGGGGAGGGCCCAGCCCATGGTGGGTGGTGCCATCCTTGGGATTTTAGTCCTGGGTTCTGTACAAAGGTGGGGTCAGATGGTCATGGGAAGCAAGCCAGTAAACAGCTTCGATCCATGGCCTCTGCATCAGCTCCTGCCTCCAGGTTCCTGCCCTGTTTGAGTTCCTGTGCTGACATGTAAGCTGAATAAACCCTTTCCTCTCCAACTTGCTTTTTGGTCATGGTGTTTTTTCCCACAGCGTCAGAAACCCTAAGCCTCACAGTGATGGTGCATGCCTTTAGTCCCATCACTCCAGAAGCAGAGACAGTGGATCTCTGTGAGTTCAAGGACAGCCTGGTCTACAGAGCAAGTTCCAGGACAGCCAGTGCTGTTACACAGAGAAACCCTGTCTAAAATAAATAATTAAATAAATAGATAGATAGATAGATAAATAAGACGCCCTAAGACCTACACCATTTAACAAAATTAACAGTAAGTATGAGAAAACAAACAAACAAACAAACCAAAGACAGTAAGTATGGAGATGATGTTTACTCACAGTCATAAAAGTCATTTAAAGGTGCTGATAATCTCAAATTGATTAGCTACAGAATTCATCTTTTAAAGCTGCAGACAATTTTTTGACATAATTAAAAATAATAAGGCCATAATACATACCAATTATATATGTGAGTGGGTATTCAGGAAAATTAATCTCTGTATTATCTTTTAATGTTTTGATAATAATTAAAGCAAATATTTCAAAGATGTTTAATATGCATTTATGTATTTTAATTTTTGAAACAAACCCAACATTGTTGAAAGTAGATTTTTATCAAAAAACCAAAATAACAAACAAATAAACAAAAAAGATTTTTAAAAAGATTATAGTATTTTGAATAGAATTGTTTTATAGGTCTATCAATACTATGCCAATTTACAAATCAATAAATGAAACATTCAAATAAGTATATAGTTATTTTTATTCTAAAAAAATGTGTCCAGTTGAAGCTGTGCATGATAGTACATGCTTTCAATCCAAGCATTCTGGAGGCAGGAGACAGATCTCTGATGGGAGATGTCATTCTGTAAATATGTTTCTCTTATTGGCTAATGAATAAAGCACTGTTGGCAAATAGGAAGGCAAGATAGGCAGGACTAGGAGACAAGGAGGATTCTGGTAGAGGTAGTAGAGACCAGTCAAGATGTAGGATGTGACAAAAGTCAGAGGTCTGGACCCTTCCTCAGATTAGACTACGTGGAGACACTTAGGTGGATAGAAATGAGTTAATATATTTAAGACAGAGCTAGCCAATAAGAAATGCTAGTAACAGGCCAATAGTTGCATAATAATACAGTGTCTCTGAATGTTATTAGGGGCTAACTCAGCTCTGGGACCAGGCTGGTGGGAAACTACTTAAAACAGATCTCTATTTGAGGCCAGCCTGGTCTACAGAGGGAGCCAGGGCTACACAGACAAATCCTGTCTGGAAAACCCCCAAACAATGTGTCCAGTTGCATGATAAATTGTAGCTTAGACATGAGTTTCCTAACACATTTACTTTTTTCTTAATGGTTAATTGGAACAAAACACAGAACCAATTATTTCACTTTTCTAATAAGTAAACAATGGAGGTACCCAGGATGGGGAAGTTAGAGCCACAGGAATCAACACACACACACACACACACACACACACACACACACCTTACAAAAATATAGGGAGCAAGGCATGGGGCACATGCCTTTAATTTCAACACTCTGGAGGCAGAGGTAGGCAGATAGATCTCTGAGTTCTATAGCAGCCTGGTGAACACAGTGAGTTCAGAACAGCCAGGGATATATGGAGAGACCCTGTCTTTAAAAATGTGGGGTGGCTATTGAGCAACTATCTGGATCTTACCTGCAAACACACTAGCAAGGTCACTGGTTCTTGGATTCCGAAACTTGACATACTTATCTGTCCACCATGTAAGCCCAGTCTTTAGCATTGGGACTTTTATATTTATAGACGAATTAAGGTTGTATGAAAGAGTTATGGTATCTGAAAGGAAATTGAAATTTATGGTAGAGATGTTAGATAGCCACTTTGCCACCTTTCAAAATACAGAACTAGACACAGATGAAAAACAAATTAGGTTTTTTTTTTTTTCAGACACTCAACACGCCTACATGCCTTAGATGCTGAATCATGAGATCATTTTTTTTTTCCTTTACCAACATTGAGCCAATTATTGAAAAATATCCTTTGGCTCCATTTAATTCGTGTTCTCTGACTGTTCCTTCAGTTTGCTGGCAAGGGAGAAGTTATCTACAAATGAAACACCAGACATCAGTGTCCTGGCTTATCCCGGATAAAATACTTGGCATTAAGCAAGCAAATAAAACCAGCCACTCAGCTGCCCCAGGGGACATCCTAGATGTGGAGGTGGCTATGCACTTATGAAAGAGGTAGAAAAAGTCACCTACCATTGAATATGCTGTTGGCAATTGCACCACAAGGAATGATTGGAGTGCCGTCCTGGGACACTTGGAATGGAGAACAGTCCTTAACATCCTATATGCAAGACAACACATCAATGAGAAGTGCTTTTGGTAAAACTCTCAGACTAGAAAGAGAGAACACCGGAAATGTGCACCAACCCCCGTTAGTGTACTGGCATGGGTAAAGATTACAGTCTGCTACCTGTGTCCCCTGGCTCTTTGACTCACTCACACTAGAAATTGCCCAGTCTTTGGAGGTATATGTGCACACGGATGTCTAGGTATTTTATACAGAGCATGCCCCAAACTATTTGCAGGGAGGATTTGTTTAACCTTGCTCAGTTGAGTATCACATTAGGTCTACATGAGAACACTTTTAACAATCTTTTTGTGAAAGTGTACCATATTCAGAGGAGTATTCAGGTCAGATTCCATTACCAGATGATGTCATAGGGATTTGCTTGCTAAACATGTTTAGGTTATCACTTCCATAGACTGTCAGGATGTTAGTTTCTCTTGCTAACATATATGAACTATTGAGAATAAAAACTTATAACCTTAGGTTAAACCTAGGCTTCTATTCAAGCAAATTTCCTTTTAGAATGGATCAAGGACCTTGGTAATAGAAAGGCAGACAAACGTGTTTAGCAAGTGAAGCAAAGAGAGGCAAAGGTCTCTCAAAACCCATGAAAGGGTAGCTCCCCCTTTTAGACTGAAACAATCCCCTGGCTTAAAAGAAAAGATCATTATATCAAGTGGGACTGAGCCTTACCCAAATATCCTTGCCCAACAGCTGGCTATTGCTTCTTGATAGAATGTATCGATAGAGGTTCTGATGAAAACCATACAATTTGTAGTACATGTAAACATTACCCTGCATAGAAGATAAGATAGTTGATTGGGATATTAATAAACATCAACACCTCTCAAAAAAGAAACAGAAAACTATATACAAAACATTGATGGGAACGGAAAGTTTCTTTTTAGAAGTAGGAAAAAAGTTTGACATAGGACCAGGCTGGCCTTGGATCTACAGAGATCTGCCTGCCTCCACATTTGGAGTCCTGGGATTAAAGACATGTAGCACCGAGCCCAGCTTTAGGCAGTGTATCTTCAATGCATAAATGCAGATTTATGAATCTTGTCTCTTTGTGGAAATACCAGGAAAAATACTTGGTATAAAATGCTCTAAAGTTTTAAAATGCTGTTTGCAAGATTTCAGTATCTAGATATTTTCCCTGGATGAAACACAAGTCTCTTTTTGGGGTCCCTGATGAATCTGAAACATCTGGAACAGCAGCAGCACTGGTGTAAGCTTTCCTGGCAGCCTCTTTGGTGTGGTAGCCTTTGACACAGCATCATTAGTTTTATCAGCTTCAGAGTGGAGAGGCAGGGAATTAAGCAGCTGAGGTGGTTTGAGTAATTAACGTCTAACAATGTTCCAGTGATTTTTTTCCCCAGCGAGAGTGAAGTGTGTGACTTGATTAAGATAAAACTGCTGCTCATCTAGTATTTGCTGATGGTCTTGAGTGGGGGCAGCAGCCAAAAGTTAATGACCTTGTGTGTGAAGAACAGACTATGTCTTAAGACATTGTTGGACACTATGCTGTATATTTATACTGTGGCGTAGTGGGACAGCAGAAGTAGTCACGGCAGTTGCCACTGTAGGCTAGGGACCTCTTCTCTTGCCTGTAGTGCTGTCTCCTTGTACTAAATGGTAGTGTAGGAGCAGTTGGGTGGACAGTAGTACTGGGCATATTTAGGGATGGATGAGGGCACACTGAGTGTTTCAGATGAACAACCTTGCTAGGATGATTGTATGGACCATGGCTCTGAGTTTGTGGGATAGTTGCTATGGAGTGACCTGAAGGAGGCGGTGATTGGCAGGGTTGACTGAGAGTTTGTGTGTATTGCTTGGTGGGATGTACTCAGCTTGGCTTTGCATCGAGCTGAAGCTGCACATGGCCGTTTGGTAGTCACCCTTCTATCTTTCATTTCAGAGCTGTTTTAATGCTTATTTTGCCCAGGGCAAATATACAACGCCAAACATTTTGCGTGTTGCATTGATATAAGCACCCAAAGTCATGGATCCAGTTTCAAAGTAAATCCAGGTGATGTAACTTAGAACTGGAGTCACTGTACACATGCTGGTGAATGAGCATGGTGAGCACAAGGGATGCAGGAGACTAGGAGCTCCCTATGCCTAGGCTCTGGTAAAGAATCTCATCACCTTAGCAGCAATTTCACTCCTCAGCTACACTCCCCACAGGGACAGCTGAGAAGAGATTTTTATGCCTCCATGATTTTCCCTAGTAGTCAAGACTTAAATGAAAAATGTGTGTTATTCTACTTCCCAAAGCTATTTCAAATGTCTATCCCATGCTCTGCATTCTGCCCTTCCCGTCAGCGTCCCAGATATAGACCCGGTCCCCCTGTGCCCTTCAGAATCCACTCTACATAGGGATCAGCAATGTGCTAGTGTTCTCCCCATTGACCACTCATTCAGCTGCCCCAAAACTCAGGTCATTATCATCTCCTGACAATCCACTCACTTCTCCCCTCCCTCCCTCCCTCTTGCCTAAAGGCCACAGTGGACAGCTGTGCTTGCCTCCTCCTATCCTGGGGACCTCTTCACTCAATTCCTCTAGGACCTGTATTAACAGGAGAGTTGAATCCGCCCAACAGCAGGGGTTTCTCTTTGTCTTTCTTGGCATTCCTTGCACTGTCGGTGAGCCTGACTGAGAGCCTCTTTGGGGTCCAGCAACTGTACTGGTAGGATGACTTGGGGTGACAGAATCCAAGGAGAAGTGTTGACACTAACTTGATGTGTAATCTTGGCCAAGTCATGTTAACTTCTTGGTCCATTAATGATTTCACTTAACATGAGGTAGTAAATGTAATAAGTTCTATAGCCTTGCCCACACAGATATTTATAATAGAACCTGTATCAATGATCATACAAGTCAAGTTGGAAAGTTTTGACTTGAGGTTGGGGGGACTTCTCAGGGACAGGTAGAAACCTGATGCAAGGGAAACTCCCATAAACCTAAGAGGGTGATCCCAGTTAAGAGTCCTAGCCTGAGCTGACCATCTCCTGTGATCAGATTGGTGACTACCCAACTGTCATCAGAGAGCCTTCATCCAGTAACTGATGGAAACAGATTCAGAGACCCACATCCATTATGAGGAGTTCAGGGAACCTTGCTGAAGAGGGGGAGGAAGGATTGTAGGAGCCAGAGGGGTCAACGACATCACAAAAAAACCCCACAGACTCAACTAACCTTGCTCATGGGAACTCATCGAGTCTGAACCAAAAAACCAGAGAGCCTGCATGGGACCAACTTAAGCTTTTTACATATGTGACAGTTGTATAGCTTGGTCTACTTGTGGGATTCCTAACAATGGGAGCAGGGGCTGTCCCTATTTTTTTTGGCTGGCTCTTGGGAACCTATTTCTCATACTGGTTGTCTTGCCCAGCCTGAATACAAGGGCAGGTGCTTAGTCTTATGGCAACAATATGTCATACTTTGTTGATACCTATGGAAAGCCTGCCCCTTTCTGAATAGAAATAGAAGGGGAGTGGATGAGGGAGAGGGAAGGTGGGGAGAGGAAATGGGAGGGAGGGAGGGGAAACTATGGTTGTGATGTAAAATAAACAAATTAAAAAAAAAGATCTTGAAGTTTAGAAACAGGAAAAAAAATCAATAATAATAAACACAAAAAAGGCATTCTGACTCAAGACTTATCATCTCTACCCTGCTTTATTTCTTGTATGTTTTCAGTTTTTAGAAAGCATTTGATGGAAAGTACAAAACCAACATGCAGAAATATGTGACAGAACATAAGCATGAAGCCAAGTGAACTCACCTCCATTTTATCCAGAAGGTAAAACGGAACAGAGCAAGTGCATTCTTTGTCAAAATTAGAGCTATTTTCCCGTAGCTGCGCACAATTTGCACATATGCTTGTGTAATTAATCTGCCAGGCAGGAAAACACAGTAATTCATTGAAACGCCCAAGCCTATCCAAACGGTTCAGTGGTTTTGGGGATGGAGCCTGTGACATGGTTAGAGGACAGCCTGCTTCGTGGGTGTTCTTTTCTGGGGTGCTTGGGTCTCCAGGGCAGGGTCTACTGGGCCGTTTGGTCTCCAGAAGGCATATCTTGCCACTGGTTTGGACCTCCATGTCTCTGTAGCACACTTACACTTCCATTCTCAGTCATGAAGAGGGGTTGCTAGGAAGGTATTAGCCAATGCTTCATGAAAACAGTGCGTAGAGCCTCAGTCTAATCACCTTTACAGGGAACTCACTCTCTAGTTTCCACTCTACTGTATGGAAATACAATTATTTCACATGTCCTCTGGAGGAAGTTACTAAAAGTGACCAAGCAGGAAAATGATATTTCTCAATAAGGTTATTGGTGCCTGTGGGATAATTCTCAGCCTGAGAAGACATTGTGTTCTGCTTTCTGAAAGTTAAATTCTGTGGACGAATTATACAATACTCTCTCTCTCTCTCTCTCTCTCTCTCTCTCTCTCTCTCTCTTTAAAAGAGACAAGTGTCCCAAGTGAGTGACTCTTGTGTACTCTGACAAGACACTCAGCACTCAGTTCTGGGGGGCGGGGGGATGAAGCTGGGAGGCAGAGGGAGGGGAAGCTCAGAGATGGGGGCTCAGGGACTGGGAGTGCGTGCTCCCCAATCCTGTGGGCAGCTTCTGCCCCTGGCACAGTTTACAAAGAAGAGTAATCAGAGGATTCTGGGAGAGAAAAAGCTCAGAGAGGCAAGGGAGAGGCTCTCTCTTTGGTAAGGTGTCAAGAGGATGTAGGATTCTTCTGAAGAGAAAATTAGCAGGAAAGAAGAAATGTCAACTCTGCAAAGCCCTTTAAGGAGTTAAAGTGGGAAGGCAAAGTAAGCCCTACTAATGTTCCAAGTCACCGTTCTCTACACACATGGCATGGCTCGAATGGTTCCTTTGAGAGAAATTACGCCTCTTTCGGTTGTGGAACTATATATACTTCAGTTTATAAAGAACACTAAAGAATAAGACAGTATGCCAGTCAAGTGTAAACACAGACATCACACCGAACTGCATCCCAGCAACTGGGGCTCCAGTGGCCAATGTCCTCTTTTGACTGGAGGATTGTATTAGACTCTAGCATCCAAAATTTTGATCATCAGTATATTTTGTGTAACAGTTTATCTACAAGGGATGTCACACTAGAATGCCCTTTATTTCATAGATTCCATTCTGAGTTATGGACACAGAATTAGAAGAATTTTTTCATGATCATACAGGTTTTGATGAGATGCTATCTCTGATGCTTTCTACCTCTAAGAATTCTAGCGAGAAATACATGTCCCCAATATACTGTGCACATAATGACAGTGTCTTGCAATCCCGTGTTCAGCTGAACTGGTAAACCTATAGACAAAAACAGAGCAAAGACTGTAGTCCACTGTTCATAGAATTTGAGAGGCAGGCGTCATTTATACTTAAAATGACATGTAAAAACAGCGATTCCTCTCGAGCATATAGCTAAAGATAATGACATTAGTACATTAAAAAGATGCCAGCAGATAATGACATTAGTACATTAAAAAGATACCTGCATTCTCACAATTTTTTGCAGTAATTCATAATGTTGTGGAATTAATCTCCTTGTCCAGTGACAGATGAACAAAGATGATATGGTATATTTACCATGGAACATTATTTGATCATAAAGGCAATCTTGTCATCACCAGCGAAATGAATGGGTATGAAGGCTATTGGAACAAGGGACCTTGCATGCTCTCACTTCTATATGGAAGCTGAAACGTTCATACGCAGTGAGGGCCGGGAGTTAATTAGCCAGAGGGCAGGAAGGGAAGGGGAGGGGGAATGGAGCTGGATGAGGTGAGGTAAACACAGAATGGTCCTGTGCTTCACCGTAGAGCGGTACATCTATGACTCATAGTAACTTCCTGTATATTTCATGGGTATCACAGGAGAGGAGCCAGAAGCTACTCACAAAGCAAGGAGAGAAAAATCGCAATTCCCTTGATTTGCTCAGCATATATTTGTAAACATGTATTTAAAAACAAACAAACAAACAAAACAAAACCCAACCAACAACAACAACAAACCTTACCATGCCAGTGAACTATTACAACCATGACATGCTAATTACACAAGACTAACATTTAAAAGCTCACATGCTTCAAAAACACCCAAGATCTCTATTTTTGGCTCTGGGTTCATTATCATATGGATTATTGGGGTCTGGCTAGCTTTTGACCTTGCCTCTCTTCTCCTGCCTCTGTTTGTTGCTTGCTCCCTTCTCTAAGATGGCCTGACTTGCCCAGGCTCTTGTACATAAGTGTGGCTGGAGGTGAACAGTGTGACAGCAAGAATGAAGTCAATACTAAGGGCTCCATTCCCCTCTGCACCTCTGGTGGCCCAAAGTTGGGGGGATCCAGCGAGATCTAGTTTTCCACTGTTCTTAAAGTGACCGCTGCCACTTTACAGTCCCAAACTGAAAACCTTTGGGAATTAAAAATGTGAGACGTGACAAACCTCAAGTTCCTTGGTGCTCTTCGCAGACAGAAGAAGGACGATGCCCATACAGAGGCAGAACCCTCCTGTGGCAAAAAAGATGGAGAGGACCGCCGAGGCAGATAAATTTAGCTGGTGGGCAGGCAACTTCTGCTGCTTCAGGGCTGTGTTTTCTGGCAGTCTCGACAGGTTATACTGGGGCATCACCTTCATTTTGGTCCTGTGGGCAACTCACATACTTTTGGAATATTGAGAACATTCATGATTGTAGTAATAACACATAACGCTAATGCTACATGAAGAATGACATGAACTTGTGAAGTCAGTTTTGATTTCTGTCTTGCTCTCTTGCCACTCACTGCTGGGTGCGCTTCATTTCAACTTGGAAAGCCTGTTGTGTTAAATGCCACGCCTAAGAGGGTTCGCCTCCGCGTCTGTAAAAACCAACTGCTCATGCGCAGAAGCAGCTGTTACAAGCTGTTTCTGAGGGTTGTTCGCTAAGTCGAGGCAAAACCTTCCTACATGTATCTTTATGAACTTGTGTGAATCTTTGGTGGTTAATACAAAAGGCTATCGGCTTTTACACGAATTGGAACTAAGTTGGAAAAAAAATGCCCTGAGATTAAAGCTAGTTTTGCCATTTGTGATGATACAGAAAGGAGAAACAGGTATTTTCAGAATATATATGCATGCATTTAACTTCACTTTCTTTCTCTTTTTGTTCCTTCCTTCCTTTCTTTCTTTTTCATACATAAGAAAGACCCAGGCAGAAAATATTGATTACAACATTTCCTTTTGGAGCTGGAGAGATGGTTCAGTGGCCAAGAGCACTTCCTGAGGACCCAGGTTCAATTCCCAGCACCCATATGGTACTTTACAATTCTTTAATTCCAGACCCAGAGGATCTGGTGCCTCATCAGGCACTGCATGCCTGATGCATCAGGCACATGCACAGACAAAATACTCATACTTTTAATTCAGGCATAAAACTCTTGAAAGAAAAAGCTCCCTTTCAGCCTCTCTCAAACATACTTCTCGGAGGTTGGTGAAGCACTATTAGACATTCAAGCCTTGCAATATAGTATTAGTTCTGGTTTGAGGGTTTTCTCCCTTGGTTATTAACAATTTATAATCATTCCTTTAAAAAACTGCCAGAGAAGACACAGACTTTGAGCGTCATAAAGTAGGCAGAGAAGCCATGAGCATGGCTAAAGGCTTGGGTTTAAAGGGTAGCCATAGAGTATAGGATTAGATTTATATGTGTGTAACTATCCCATAAGCCATCAGGCACATTTGTGACTTAAGGTCCTATTCCAATGTTAAAACAGATAATGCCCAATAAAAGGGTTATTTCTATAATGAACTATTAAGAGCAGTATTTCTTAGCTTTCTTATAAAACAAGACCACAAACTTAAGAAAGCTTCACAGGTAATGTGTTAATCATGCCTTTCCAGAAAATCAAATCCATAGACACATAAGTATACATGATCAGGAATTGTCTCACACAATTGTAAGAGGCTTAGTCCAAAATCTTCTGAGTCCAATCAGTGTCGCAATGAGTTCTGAAGACCAGCAAACCGGCATAACCTTAGGAAGAGTCAGTTTTTCAGTTAGAATTCTGTTACTTGGGGGTAAGGCACTGGGCTTCAGTTCTGTCCAGGTCTCAAATGGAAGGGATGAATCCCACTCATGTAATGCAGGGCAATCTGGTTTAATTAAGTCCAGTGATTTAAATGTTACTCTTTTTTTTTTTTTCTTTTGTTTTTTGAGACAGGGTTTCTTTGTGTAGCTTTGTAGATCAGGCTGACCCTGAACTCACAGAGATTCTCCTGCCTCTGCTTTCTGAGTGCTGGGATCAAAGGTGTGCACCACCACTGCCCAGCCCTTAATGTTACTCTTATCACAGACAACCACACAGGAAAGTCTCACCTACTCTCGGGCACCTTGTGGATCAGCCAAGTAGACATAAAATCTGTCATCATAGGCAGTAAGTGCCAGCACCTCTGGGCAATATTCTTAAGAGAGATAGCACATCATAAATCCACCTTTTTCTAAATCTTTGACCTTTTATTTTTTATTAATTTTTTTCACAATATATTTTGATCATATTCTTTCCTTCCCAACCCCTCCCCACCACCCTACCTTTCAACCTTATATTCCCTCTCCTAAAACAAAAAAGCAGAAAACAAAACTCTAATAAGGCAAAAAATATCCCCCCCCAAAAAGCCAAAATGAAGTGAAAAAGCCCACAAAAACTATAACAACAAAGCAAAGCAAATCCCCCAAACTCCAGTCTCTGTTTCTTATTGGCCACCTATTCCTAGGCAGGGGCCTATCCTGCAGTATGGCTGATATACCCCAGCACATTCCATGGAAGAAACTGGATTTTCCTTTCCTGGTGGGCATCAATTGCAAATAGCTTCTTGGTTAGGGGTGGGATTTTGAGTTCTCCACCCTTTTCAGTGCTGGCATCATGTGTGGTTTGAACTTGCTCAGGACTTGTTAGTGCTGTCACAGGCTTTGTGAATGCATGTGTTTCACTCCTGTCGTGTTGAGAAGATGCCATTTGCTTGGAGTCATCCATCACCTCCGGTTCTAACAATCTTTTTGCCTCATCTTCCTCATGAAGCAATTCCCCGAGCCTTGAGGGAGGGATTTGATGATGACATCTCACGTAGGACCGAGTGCTCCAAAATTTCTCATTCTCCGGGCATCATCCAGCTGTGGGTCTTTGTGTTATTACCATCTCCTCCAACGAGTCTTCTCCGATGAGGGTCTAGTGAGGCATAGCATTATGTTATTAGGAGTGATTTTATTGCTGTGATCCTTTTGCAGAATAATCGTAGTAGTTTCTTTCCAATGTAGGATTGACTGCCTTGTGATAATTGTTAATGGCATGAATGTAACAAAAATATCTATGATGAAAAATTTCTGAGCAGGTCTGGTGGTGCACACCTTTAAACCCAGCACTAAGGAGGCAGACGCAGGTGGATCTCTGAGTTTGGGGCTAGCCTGGTCTACAGAGTGAGTTCCAGGATAGCCAGGACTAAACAGGGAAACCCTGTCTTGAAACAAAACAAACAAACAAACAAAAAAAAAAAGGAATTTGATCATTAAATAAAAGTGGTAATGTATTATAACCCATAGAATAAGAAATTCATGTGTGAAACACAACTGAACAAAGAAACTAGAAACAAAGGAAGCTAATTTTCACAGGGATTTCAGTAAAGATGAACACAATGGGAGGGACAGAAAAGAGACTGCAGTAATGACTGCTACAGGAACAATCAATGGCTGCTGAAAATGCCTGGGTGGCTTAAAGGAAAAGGTATTTACATATTAAAGTACGTCCTCTGAGATGGATATTGACTATAAAGAGAAAAATGGTACGATCTCTCTACCATGGAGGCAAGTGGCAGATGACATCTGTACTAGGTGTTCAAGGCCGATGGCATGGGAACCGAGACACAGTGACGTTATGTATCCCCCGATAGGACACAGAGAGGTGGACACACTACCACTGTGGGGTTCTGACCAAACCCCACAAAGCTTCCCATTACAATATAGACAATGAGAACTTAGGAGAGTTTACCAAAGGAATGGTGAGTACTCATCCCATGATGTCACGAGAGAATGAGGAGACGATGAGGCACTGTCACCGTAAGGAAGGGTAACAGGTGTTGCAGGATCCTCCACGGGCTCCTAGGCTGGGGAGAGGTCATCGGAGGAAAGCCTGACACCAGAATAACATCTACAGTTTACCTGTACTGGGCTGATGCCGCTTTCTCGGTTTTGGTACCTGCGCATTGCGTGCATTAGATAGTAACAATGGGAGAACCCGAGGAAGGGGACATGGGAATCGGTAGGGCTGTTGTATTTACTGTCTGTCTGCACCAGGTATACTTGCTCTCTCATGTGCGGAGAGGCGATCAAACCCAGGGCCTCGTCCATGCTAGGCAAGTGATCTACCACTGAGCCACATCCCAGCCTCCGCACATGCTCTTTCCAGCTTTGTGGTGTTCACAGAGAGGGAGTAGAGCAGTCAGATTTCACCGGACAGACAGACAGAGAGATATGAAAAGAGACCATAAATAGCAAGATGCTACATTTCGAGCTTCCCTTCAGTCTATGACAAAGACCCAGCAGGCATCTGTCTCCCCATGGTAGGATCCAGCTGACAGGCACAGCAGGGGCTGTCCGCAGCCAGCCGTCATGCTTTAGTTTACCAGCCGTCATGCTTTAGTTTACCAGCTTGCTCCATGGCCACCATCTCCTGGTCTTTTTGACAGTTTTGTGAGATAGCATTCCCATTTTGCAGCCTCTAAGACTGATGCTCAGAGGGGGAAGTGGCTTGGGTTCTCAGCTGCTATTTTCTGTCTCCTGCATAGTCAAAGAGGAGGAGAAAGAAAAACTTGGTCTGTTCAACAAAGACAACATACTTCTTTATTGAATGAAGGCATGAGCCAAAGGACACATTCATAGCTGTCAAAGGAATCCCCAGATGTCTTCCCAGTGACCCACTGGGTGATGCACTTGACATAATTACACCACAGTAGGTAGCTACTAAGCACTTGCAGCACGTTGACAACTGGACACTGCATCAGGACCCAGGCTTAGAAAAGGCCCAGCTTCAAGGACTCTGACTTGCAGAGGCTTAACACTCCCATATCCAGAAGCTCAAACACTTCCTTTCTTATCTAAAGGAGAGAGAAAAACAATACAAAGGTTACAATTACACAAAGGTAGTCCTGGCGAACTAAGTTCACACCTGGTGTCCCAGGTGTTCATACAGCTGTTATGGTCAGAACCAGAGTGAACAAAGGCCACATCTGGGTCGCAGGTGTACCTATAGCTCCTATAACTGAACCGGAGAGGCGAAGTCCCATCCATGTTTCAGAGTTGGGAGTCACATAAGTGAAGGAGGAGGACTGGAAAAACATCAGTTTCACTACAGGGCCTTCACGTTTGTTTGCATCCATCTAAGCAAGGCTATTCATGGAGGCAGAGTATACCCCACCCCTGTGTGTGTGCTAAGCCAATGGCTTTTTAACTTGATTTGATGCCTAATGTAACTTGTCAATCTACTATAATGAACTTCGTTCAGTCTGGGGAAGTAGTTTTATGTGGTAAATTAACTCACAGCATGTTTTAGAGGCCCAACTCTAAGCCTTTTTGATAGTTACTGGTATGATTTAGTCCTGGCAGGTGATTGGCAGCCTTATTTATTATTATATAACTTCCTCCCCACACATATCAGGCTAGATTGAAAAACTTTCCATGATAACATGGTGGGTGGTAAAATAAAATTTCTACATTATGAGCTCAATGAACTATTTTTCATAAATACACAGAGTTGTGCTGTGCCCACAAAAGCATTCAGTCATTCAGTTTGAATCCACTGAGACACAGAAACCCTCCACACAAAATGAAAACATCTTTGTAGATTATGTAAGTAGGTTTTGTGGGGATGTGGAGAAGCCAACTACAAGGTTGCCCCTCTTCCCCCTTTGGCAAAATATATATATAATGAATAAATGACCAAGATGAGTGCGTCTGTGATGAGAGGCACAGGCAATGGGCAAACCCTCCAGATCCTCCAGCTTCTTTGAAGTGCGGACAGGGGCCATGGTCATTTACTGGGCAACCAAGCGGATAGTATATACCGTTATGTGGAAGCAGATGGCAGGCGCTGTAATAGTTACTCAGTGTTAAAGGCAGACATTATTTCCACAGCTAGAATGTACTGGCTCCCCAAGTCAAAGACTTTATTCCTGTGTTTGAACTCAAGTTCAATTTTGGAAAAAAAAAAAAAAAAGATTAAAGACAATAGCTGATTACGCAGTACCTCGGGAATGTCCATCATTCTCCTTAGTTTCTGATCTCTCCAGTTCCAGTCGAAGATCAGAAACTTTAAGGGGTTCAAATTAAGGCCATCTGAAAGACACAGAGAGTCGCGGTAGTAAAGACCTCACGACGTACGCCTGTTAAGATGGTTTTCATACTCCTGCTCGCCTCACTCGCCGTCCTACCCCTCAGCAATGAACCTCTGCACACTGCTGCTTGCCTGATGGGAAACACGTGCGGCACTCTGACACATGTAGCTTTATCACTGCTTCTGAGGACGGAGAAGCGACCCTGGGTAAGCCTGTCGATACTCAGTCCTGGGGCTGGGGGTCTCCTTCCTGACAGGGTTCTGAGACTGTTTCCTGGAGCCAGGAGAAGTGGGCTTAGCATGCATGTCTCAGAGGAGCTGAGGGGCAGGGAAGGGTGCTGACCGGGCTCCCCACTGAAGAGGCTGGGGAATCACAGCCACTCTGCTGCCCGGAATTACTGCACACGAAGACTGCGGGAGACCCTGGATTGTTTAGTCCCCAGGTCCTAAAAGGTGGGCGCAAATGCAGCTCTTGTAGTTGGCCCGAGGTCTCGCCCGCCATGCTTGGTAACAGTACCAGAAGCTTCTCCAATGCCGCTATTCCCCATAGCCTTCCCTCCACGCCCCAGAGACTTTTCGTGCCTCTTACAATTATATACGGTGTATTATAACCCTCTCACCGGAATTATGCTAGGAAACTGGGAAAAGATAACGTGCTGCTGGTCCTCTAAAGGAGACAGCGCTGTAGAAAGCAAGCAGAGACGCCCCCTCCTGAACAGACCCACAGAGCTTTTGAACACCCACTGACAGAAAAGCTTTCTTTCTGTGATGTCCCAGATTAAAAACAAACAAACAAACAAACAAACAAAACAAAACACCAACCAGAAGTTCAAAGCAACTGTAACCACTGTTTTATGCATAATTAAAAAAAAAACGGATAAAATTCAAGTATTCTACACTAAAAGTGTAACAATGTAATCCATACATATTACAAATGAGAAGTAAATCAATTTCCTGAGAAAGAAAATCATCTTAAATCATTATATTATTATAAGTGAGGCATATATATTACATTTATAATATAAACTCTATATATGTATACATATGAAGCAAATGAATTGTAACCATGTGGAATGTTATATGATCTCTGCTTCATAAAAATATATGTTTGTATATAAAAAATGAAAGGCAGTATACTCATAATTAGAAATTATCTGTAGAGTAACTTATTTTTTATCTGTATCATCTTAATTTTTTTAAAAAAATATTACATTTATCCAGTGTATTCGTGTGTGTATGTGTGTAGGCCTGCATGCCAGGTGACAGTATGGAGGTCAGGAGATAACTTTGAGGGGTCAGCCCTCCCTCCTACCAAGTGTGTTCCAGGAATCAAACTCAAGATGTCACTCAGGCTCGGTGGTGAGCACCTTTACCCACTCAGCCACCTCACCTGACCCCTCTGCATCTTCATGCATTTCTCACAGAAACTTTCCGTAGTCAGAAACTTTCCTTAACTGCCAAATTAAAACAATACAGTTCTGAAGATAGTTTTACAGGTCCCAGTGTCACGGGACCTCTTTCTTGTCTGGAAACTGTCCTTACATGTTGAACACGCAAGCATCGTGTTAAGTGATATAAAATGAGTCGTGTGATACTTTTCTAGCTTTGACAGAACCTCAGTTCCCAGTGTGCTGGGGCTATTTTTATAAGCATTTTACATGCATCCTAACACCATGGCTAATATATTGTAGATTATTCATCCAAGCAGAAGTAAAAGCTTTCATTAATATCACAGGCCAATATTATTTTTCCATATGAAACAGGCTGTCTGTCATACAGTTTCCCCAACTCTGTAGAAATCTAATCAACAGCTTGGATAGCTTCTTTCTGTCCCCCTCCCTTCCTTCCTCTCTGCTTCTATTTTAAACCTAAAAGGGCCCTGTTTGTAGGTGGTGGGGGATCGGGTAACAGGAAAAGTCAAGTGTTCTGGAAGGGACCAGTTTAATCTCCATCTGAGAGCTGTGGGGGGTGTCAAGGACCAACCCAAGAATCTCTCCCTGACCTCCTCCAAAGCCCAAACAGTCTCCTCAAATCTGCCTCCCCAAGAGGACCAGACTTGGTTCCTAGCACCTGCTTCCTAATGCCAATGCCTTCCTGTGCCCACAAGACAGACATCCCAGTTTCAAGGAACCCCTTTGTGTTAGGGGGTCTGGAAATAAGAAGGCCTGGCTTGAGACTATGGGAGGAGTCACTCCTCTAAGCCTGTTTTCTCAAATAAAAATGCAGAGTCCTGGCTAGTAAGGATGCTGTGGGTACCAGTTAGAAAGCACACACAAGGATGTCCAGCATAACACCAATTACAAGGAGGAATAAAAAAAAAAAAAAAAAAAAAAGTTTGTCTCCTGTTTCTATCAGGAACCTTCCGTGTCTTAATTCTTTGCTGTTTGCACAGAACTCAGCAGTCAGTGGGTTTAATTAGCTACAGGTACTGTTACCTGGACAGGAATGTCAGGTGTTTTAGATGTTGCTTCCTGAGTTACAATATTGTTGAGAGTGTTTCTTTGACGTCTACAAAATAATTCAGGACTAGACCCAGACAGAAGACAAAGTCACATTACTATACTAAGCAATTTGAAAACGAAGAATGAAATCAATACATCCAAGCCAGCCTTCCGGCTCAGGTAGGTGTGTGACTTCAGCTGCGATGGGGGTGAAGGAGGGCTGCAGGATCAAGGGCAGCCTAGTGAGACTTCACCTCAGAGCACAAAGCAAAAAAAGTGCTGGGGATACAGTTCAGTGCTAGAGCGTTTGCCCATCATGTGTATGGTCCTAGGTTCAATCTCCAGCACCTCCAAACCGCCCAGCCCCCCAAACCTAAAGGTCTGGTCAAGAACACATAAAAGGATTACCAGCAGGTTTTAGGCTTCTGGCTTGAGGGAGTTGGCGAACTATTAAAGCCCACCAGGAATTGTGGAATACTTACTGGGCAAAGCATGGAAAGGGGAGTGTAATTGGGAGGAATATTCAGAATATCTCTGCATGGTTTATAGAAATGATGTTTTCATTGCAGTTTATTATCCCATCACAACTAGGATGGGAACCAAGCCTCAACTTCCCAAGCAGGAAATAGCAATTCTACTAATTCCAAGGACTGCTAACAGGTGGTGGGGCCTGTGTGGCTCAGAGCCACTGGAATCAGGATGTGCTTAGCTGGGCAAATGCACTGGCATGGGCTACAATTCTTGTCATCCCCCATAGCACTGCTCAAACTGGCTGGCTTCTGAGATCAAAGGCTGAGGTGAGTTTCCTACTGGGCAGTTTACAGAAGTCTGTTTTTGTTTTTGAAAAAAAAAAAGCACTCCAAATGTGCTTCCCTAGACTGGATGGGGGCAAGGCAGAGTGGGCTGGCAATGAACAGAATTCTCACCATCCGCATTTCATACCTTGTTTGACAAGCTCTTTGATTCTCCCTGGAGTCCCCACACCCAGGTGTATCACACGGTTCTCCAGCAACTTCACCTGCTCCCGGATCTTTCCAAGACGGAAGAGAAAGAAAAGGCTTCAGAATCATTAAGAAAACGGAACCTCGGGCCACTTTAGAGCATTTTATCTCTACGTAAAGAAAATAAAGACGCATATAGGGCCTCTCTTGTATGGGATTAACTTCTAGGGCAAAGAAGAGATGTTTCTGTTGTTAGAAAACTGGCCAGTGCCTGAGGAACCGTGACAAAACTCAGTTTCCATTCAGGAACAGCAAGGCAGAGGCTGCTGTGGGACACAGTGGTCATGGAGAGGCACAGAGCGCAAAGAAAGCCAGCACAGTTGTTTAGTCTGTCACATCTGTCGTATCTAGGAAGATGAGAAGAGGCTGAGTACGAACGCTGAGGTCTTGTGATGCCGTTAGGGACCACTTACATCTCTTATCAGAACTATAGGCCCTGCTTACCTTTATGTGTTTTGCGAATAATTTCATAATTTTGGCATCTCCTTTGAATGCTGTCAGTGACCTAATGAAAAGGAATAGGTTAATTAACTAATGCATTCAATAGATTATGACAATTTACTCTTTTAAGTGTTCACTATTTACAAATTATAGTTTCTCATTCAAAAGACTGCCCTAAATGAATAGCAAGGTTACACCATCTGCTCATTATTTAATTTGGTACTAGACATTGATGACGGTGACACTATGTTCCCTGGGGCCATTTTTTGTTTTTAAATTCACAGAATGGCATGGATCTGTGAACTGACATTTCTGTCCACAGATGTTGGGTCCATCTCTACAACGTAACAAGGCTTTATGGGAGAGACCACGAATGCTATTTCCAGCTGGCTCCATCTGATTTTCTGATGTTTACTGTTTTCCTTTTAATCATCTGTTTTTCATTTGGTGTATTTTGGTATATCACCTAAAATTCTGTTTTGCGTTAAAGGGGGTATAATGAACAGGTAGGTTTTTAGTTAACATCAAGAGTTACACTTAAGATGGGCGTATTCCTTTCCTTTATGCGATTATGTTTTGAGAATACTGATGACCAGGAGGAAGATACTGATATACAAAATAGTGAAACATGCAATCCAATTTCTATTGCAAATGAGTTCTTAATTGCACATAAGCATTCTCCCTTGTAGGGTTAACAAGGAAAACAATAGGACTTGTGGCTGTCAAGACAACAGATGTCCTTAAAATAGGGTTAATAAACACTGGTCCTTCTGCCTGCGCAGATCACACTTTGCAATTTGTTTAACCTTGAAATGGAGCAAAACCTATCTGGGGACAGTTGGTAAATTACATGTGACAACACAGTGCTTTTATGCCCCCTAGGAAGAAGTTTATATACAGTAAAAGCTCAAATCAACATGAAAACTTGTTTTTTTAAGAGGTCACATGTAGGCCAACTTCTTTGCCATTAGCATCTCAACTTGCAATGGATTCTGCAGTCCTGTCTAAACTCAGAAAAGTTGGTGTGAAATGCTTTGATTTCACAGAAAACGAGTACAGATAGCTACCCAGGTAAACAGGAGTCCTGAAGATAAATTATGTTTGGTGCTGACACACTTGAAAGGAACATTTTGCTTTACTGGAGGGTGTGAGATACGATTTAATGTGTGTGCTGAGGTGGAGAAAGCAGAATTCGAAGGGATAGTAAAGTTTAACAACTACTTTTCTAAAATCATGATCAGATTAGTTCATCCAGGAAAACAGATGTTAAATCGCCACGGAGTCTGCACACTTGCACCTTAGGGTACTTGACAAAGCTCCTGTTTCAAGACAGACTTCCTTTGTTTTGTCTCCTGTCAAAGCCTGATTTCCAGACAGGGCTTTTCCCTGTAAATGCCACCCTACTCTCTCTGTTCTCTGAATGTTACACAGATCCAGTGGAAGATTTTTTGTTTATTCTACAAAAACGCAGCAAATGGAAATGGCCGTAAAAGCACTTAACAAAGTGTCAACTTATCTTTCATATAGAAGTTTTTTTCCTTTAAGTTTTTGGTCTGTTTGGAATCCATCTTGCTAGAAGGAGTGAGATATGAATCCAACTTTATTTTTCCAGGTGGCTACTCAGTTGTTAACACAATTGCTGAACCATCTATCTTCCTCTCTGAATTCTTCTTTATCATCTTTTCTGTGTACTACATTTTTACATGCATTTGGGTCTGCTTCTTCCCTTTCAATTCTGGCCCATGGATCCCTCTGCCTGTCCTGCATGTGACAGTCCCAAAAGCCTTGAATTACTGAGACTGTAACAAGTGTATTGCAGTCTGAAAGGGGTAACACCTCTTCTTAGTGGCCATTAAGACCTTTAGTTGCCATTTTTAGTTGTATGTTTTTGTAAAAGTTTAAAATTAGTTTATCTAGTTAGAGAATAAATATTCTTGGAGTTTTGCTTGGAAGCCTATGAAATTTGTAGATGATCCTAAGTAAAACAGGCATATTTATGACACCGAGTCTCCCTTCGCAAGAGTATGGTACCTAGTTAAATTTAAGAGCTTTTCCATCCCATGGCATTTTCTTATATAGGTTGAGAAAGTTTATTTCTTGGTGTTCTGCCTTTCCTTGTTTCTCGTTTGAGTCAGATCATCCCTTCCATTTGCTTGCTGTTCTTTGCTAGTGTGGTCTTGTTGCTTTTACCCTTGCCCTGACTATGTGTTTCTTCACAGAGCAGTGTAAGTGCACCTTTAAAATGCCTCACAGAGCGCCTCAGCCCCAAATCCATGGCATCCTATTCCAGGCCTCACTGCTGAACACTTGGAAGTCTACCTGATTTCAGGTCAACAAAGCTATGTGGCTCTGTCCTTCATGTCACTGAGTCTCTGCTCTAATGCCTTCCCTGGTAAAACAGAATCCCCATCTGTGTCCATCTCATTTCTATGCCTTATTTTTCTTTATATAACACATCACTATTTAGGATACTGTCATGAATATTTACTTGCCTCCTGTCAGCCTCCCCACCGGAACATAAATCCCACAGGGCAGGGACCCTACTTTACTCATTGCACATAGAATATACAGCTTGGCACATATTAGAAAATACTCAGGAAACCCAAGCCATGGCACTGACCTGATGAGCTCCAGGGCTCGGACGGCAGAGCTACACATGATCAGCATCAGGACTGATTTCTTTTCGCTGTGGGTTTTCCGAAGTTTTACCCACTTAGGACAGACTGAAACACAGATCATAAAAACCGTTCTGAAGACAGCAAAGCAGTGCTGCTAACATTGGATAGTCTCTATTTATTTATTTGTAAAGTGCTTAAGAAAATAAAAAAACAAAGAATCGCTGATTATTATTACATTTTCTGCTATTTTAGATGACAGATTAAAATTTATGTTTACTAAGTGTTACTTGTTGACTAATAGGATACTTCTGATTCAGTCATATTAGATTTTAGCTTAGCTTAGCTTTTTTTGTTGTTTGAAGACACTGCATAGCCCTGGAAATCATAGACATCCACCTGCCTGGGGTTAGAAACATGGACCACCACATTTGTTAAATTTTAAAGAGACATCCAGCATGACCTAAAATGGAACTGACAATAAATGATAGTTCAAATTCATTATTTATTGTTATGTTTAATAAACAGGCCTAGAATTTTAAACTTTTTACATTTTTATGGCAGGTTATTATTTCTATTATTACCCAGGTTTATGTTTGCGAAGTTAAATCCTGAGAAATGCTCAATGAGCACACATTGGGTATCATCCTAGCACTAAAAGTCTGGAAACAAGTGACAGCCAAATCTGTGTAAGTTACATGATTGGTGATTGCTAAAAACAATTGATATTTTGATATGAATAATCTATTTTTTTTCTAGTTATAAACAATACAAAATAAAATATCAAGTCAGATTGGCTGTAATAATGAAGTCTGACTTCTGGAAATGGAATCTGAAGTTCTCCCAGATGTTAAAAATCAGTGTCTCGATCTTTCAGGTAAGAGGGTCAAGTTCTGGGACGAGGACATCATTTTCCCATTCCTAGACTAACACATCTAATGTATTATAACATCCAAATCAGACCAAACCCAAATCCCCAAAGCCAGAGCAAAACAGGAACACATTTAAACATCATATAATGGCCTATAATCTCAGCATGTGAGAAGCAGAGGCAGGGGAATAATGAGTTTGAGTTACCCTGGGTTACATAGTATGACTGAGGGAAAAAAAAGGCGTAACACTAAACCCCTTACCACTTAAACTATAAACTCTTAATTTTAAATGTGGATTAAGCTTATTTATTAATTTTGGTCTTTGAGCTTCCCTCTCTAGCCCAGGCTAGTCTTGAATAAGCGTTGATTTTCCTGCTTTAGTCTCCCGAGTGTGCATACGAGGGCACTGACATACCCGACTTCAAACCTGTTCTTTTGTGGAAGGAATAATGACCTGGAGAGTAATTTTTAAAACATCAGACTTCACTTACTTTCTTTTAGGTATGAAGAGAGACTGTGAGTCAGATCATTGGCCTTGAGGAAACAGGAGTCTAGAAATATGAGAAACACGCTCGACTAAGAACTTTGCAGCCACAAAAGCAAAACAGACTAAATGTGAACGATGAAGTCTTGAACGAGTTATAAAATGAGAATGACTGGGCGGCTAAAATATTTAAAATCACAGTTGTAGCAATAATAGACTTTTTATTTTTCATTTTAAATATTTTATTTATAGTTTTGAATTGTGTCACTTATCTCCCCCACTCCCTCTTTTCCTTCTAGCTTCCTCATGCTTCCTCCCTCCCACCCCGCCCATGCCCTCCTCTCTCAAACTGATAGAATCTTCTTTAATTTTTATTGCTACACACCCACATATGCAAGATATACAGGTATAACCCACTGAGTACATTTTTGTTGTTTGTGTATATATGGGGATGGCCACTCTGTATTGGATAACCTGGGCTCGTCCCTGGGACAGGGACTTTTAACTCTACAGCAGTGAACTAAAAGCTCTGCATATCATTTACAGATAGGGGAGGCACCCTTATATTTGAAATCTATGAATGAGGCAATGAGCAAAGGCAAGGTGAACGGGCTGAGAAATTTTTGAGAGAACCTCAAATTCGTTAGTTATGCAGAGCAGCAAACAGATACAGCTAGGAGGGAGCAGTCAGTGGATGGCAAATAGCAGAAAGATGTAGGACAGTCAGAGTTACGGAGACTGTGGGGTGATGATAACATTTACCAAGTCAAGGTAGAAATGCCAACTGATAAACTTATTTTGACAGTAGTAATACTAAGGTTATATGCTCTGTGATTCCCTGATTTATTTTCTGGCTAGACAATGCCAAGAAATCTTTGTGTGTGCTGTAAATGGATACACAAAAAGATTAATTTGGGCAAAATTTATGACCCTGAGATGTGGGAGGCCATACAGGTCCTCATCTGGGGAAGGGGGCCAGTGCCTTAAGACAGATGAAAGAACTGGAACATAATGTAGCATCTCAAAGAAATCACTTTCATGTATACAGAGCCACATCTGGCATATCTGAGAACGGTGTGGAGTGAAGAAAGAATGAGAGGCTCTGCAAATGTAATTTAGATAAAAATAAAAGTATACACCCAAATGGCATCTAAGAATGCATACATAGAAATGTGTAGCAACTAGAGTAAATACTTAAGAAGAAAGAAAGCATAGTATAAGAAAGGGAATAATGTAATCAAAATGTAACAATTCAGCCTAGCTGTAAAATACAACATAACACATCGAAATAAAACAGGGCCTTTGTTGATCAGTGACAGCAGAATATGTAACAATATTAACTCTGAGTATAATCATTCACTTTGAGCCTGAGATATATAAAAAAGGAACATTATGGTTATTAACTCAATTCCTTCTATAAGAAAAAGTTTCTGTGTAAATGTAAGGGTGTTAGGGAGTGAGCTATGACCAAATTAAATTGAGTTAATTTAATAATACATACAATAATAACTCATATTACATAATACTTTCAAAGTTGTTGCCTCAATAGAGGCAGGGAGACTTTGATGGCCTTTGCAATTACAATTCTCCCAGCAGAGACAGGGTCAGATGCATCTGGAGAGCGTTACACAAAAGTGATAACAGGAATGGACTCTACTTGGCTAAGTCCCTGAGGGTGGCTTGTGTTTCCTTTGAGGAGACTCCTGGGTTAGTTGGTTGCAGCTAGACTATAGGCACTTAGGGTCACTGATCTAAACCTAACCCGTTCTCAGGAGACAGCAGATGTTAACTGGCTCCCTGTGTCTTTGTTCTGGGAATCCCTAACTAAGTTCCCACGTGTAAGATGCTGGCAGTGTATGGCACAATTAATGGTAATTAAGAGGACATGCTCCTGCCCTTCAAATACAAGCAACCTCAGATTAAAATCCGGTCGGACACTTGACAAACTGGATCGGAACAATACTTTATTATTTACATCACTTCTTTAACCTATTCCAAATGACAAATGGCATCTTTTCTCTCTTCAGATAGCATGGTTACTACACCTGGAAGCTGTTTTTGGTCTTGGTGGGGTGACTAGGGTCTTTTCTCTGAAATCTTCTAATGATGTGTGGTAGGTTGAAAGAAAATGGCCCCTAAAGGGAGTGTCACTATTAGTAGGTGTGGTCTTGTTGGAGGAAGTATGGGACTGTGGGGGTGGGCTTTGAGGTCTTTTTCTTACGCTTCCCTCAGTGTGGTAGTCAGTCAGCTTTCTGTTGCCTGACTCTCAGCTCCAGCACCACATCTGCCCTTGTGCAGCCATGCTCCCTGTCATGATGATAATGGACTGGACCTCTGAAATTGTAAGCTGTCATCTCAATTAAATGTTTTCCTTTATAAGTGTTGCTGTGGTCATGGTGCCTTCTCACAGCAATAGGAACCTGAGCTAAGACATGAAGCCTTAATTAACAATGTGTCAGAGTAGTCATCTCATAGTTGATAATAAAGCCTGTTTTTTTTTCTGGCAGTTTCCAACTCTTATAAGTTGTTTTTCCCTGCTGGCTCTGTCTTAAATATTAATCCGTTTCTATTAATCTAAGTATTTCCACGTGGCCTTATCTTACCGGAGAAAGGGCCGGTGTTCTGCTCTCTCCAGTCTCTATATGCTGACTCCTCCCTACTACTTCCTGGAACCCTCCTTGTCTCCTAGTCCTGCCTATCTTGCTTTCCTATTGGCCAACAGTGCTTTATACATTAGCCAATAAGAGAAACTTTTTTACAGAATGACATCTCCCATCACCACCACCCCCCCAAAAAAGAAAAGAAACTTCACGAGTCCATAAATTTACCCAGCTGTGTTATGGGATTTTAACAGAGCAATAATATAATAACACAAACTTATTATGGAACTTGGATGCATCCCAAGGCTTTCTTATAACCTTTAGCTCTCAATTCTGCAGAGAGTCAAGGTTTATGATGTTCTCTGAGATCATAGAAAGCAGTATGCCCTTCACAAATCCTCCCAGGGCTCAAGTTATATGCTAAGGAAGAACTAGAAGAGGGGACTGAGTCACAGTGAAAACTAGACATCATCTTTGGCTTGAGCAGAGGATTTGTGACACCACTTGGCCCCTGCCATAGAGTGTCCAGGACGCAGCTCTCACACTCAAGGAGTGGCCCTCTGGGCTCAGTAAACTTTAGATTCCAGATCCTGTTCGAATCCAAGTGCATGCCTCCAGTTCCCTCAAGGGCAATTGTTCTGGAAAAGAGCAGATGGGAGCACTCCCGCTGCTAATCCCAAAGAGCACTTGAAAAAATAGCACAGAAGAATTATAACTATGCAGGGAACAGGCTGTTCTTCAGTTTCTCAAGCTTCTAGAAAGCATAGAGCTGTAGTGGAAAGTCAGCTACTGTTGACTTCTTCCCAAAGTAGCACTAGCTGTTTTCAGTAGTCTAGAAATAGCTTATCTGGAGCAGTGTTGCCAAAGCTTCTCTTGGTTTACTTTCAGGATAACATCTGTTTTCTCCTAGCCTTGCCCAGGAGCCTTACTGATGCACTATAATCTAAAAGCTCAGAGGAGTGACTGCATTTTTGCACTATCTTCTAAATCCTAAATACACTATTGAACCTCAAATTATAGTGGCTTTTCTGAAATGCAGAATTCTATTACCACATTTGGCTAGTTGGTTTGAAGTAGTCTTGGGGACAACCCAAATACTACTCTAAAACTGAAACCATGACCACAACAACTAAAATGCTTATTTAAAAATTCTTGTTATTTTTTGGAGATAGGGTGTTTATTCTACAGCTCAGGCTGGATTCACACGTGCTGTAATCCTTCTGTCTCAGGCTCCCGAGTTATGGGACTCAAGACCTAGCCTAACAGGTTTCCTAAGGCTAAAGTTCTTATTTATAATGGAAGGGTACACAAAGTGTGATATGTCCTTATGTGAGTTTAATATCTGTTTCCATCAGAGACATTTACTCCTGCTAAAATTGTGTACTGAACAATTAATCTTTCCAGTAAAAGATAAAGTACATGTACAAATCTTAGCATTCAATTCAGCAAAAACCTTTTTTTGGGTATCCAAATAGATTGCTAACAGTTAAAAAAGTATTAGATGGAAGGAAGACGATTAAGAGCAAGAAAAATGTATAAATTTCTGCTGGTAGAGATACCTATGGAACAAAAGAAAACAAATGACATGGTCTGTTCCCTGTCCTTAGGACAACTGAAGCCCAGCTATACCTGGTAGGTTCAGCTCTTCCAACTCAATCACGGAACGATTGTCCCTGTAATGGTTCTTGATGAGCTGCTGAAGGTCTCCAGGGGTCCCTGGTTTGGGCTCTGATTTTGCAAGAATCTCAGAAATTTTCTTCTAAAACAAGAAAGGAAAAGAAAGGAGAGCACTAGATTTTAGAATGGCATGTGACGTAGGTTTATTTCTCTGGCATTTAAACGGCACGTAGCTTTTGGTGACAGCTGAATGGGAGACCATACTGCATACCTCTTAGACACAGTGAATGCTTGAAAAGTGAAGAAATGATCTCAAAGGGCTCCTTGTAATGTCTGGTGTGTATCTTTTAGAAGTGAAAAGTTTGCATTCAGCTCAGTGGTAGGGTATTTTTCTGTTAAAAGTCTAGAAGTCGTGTCGCTATGGCAACTTCTCTTTTACTCCTAAACGATATTCACTCTTGAAAGAGAAGAATTTGAGCGCTTTTTGTACAACCTGACTATCAGGAGGTGAGCCTCGGATTGGACCTGTGCAGACGAACTAAGCTGAGCACAGGTGCTCACTGGAAAGCGGATTTGATGCTACTGACTCTCCTGGCGATGCCAAGGCCCCACGGAAACACAACAGAACTGATGTCTCCGTACTGTCTCCCATCTCTTTTTATGTGGACTGCTTTGTATAAAACGTCTATCAAATGTATGCAAGACATGGAAGCACAATTGTCCATTTTTTTGTCATAAACGTCCCTTATTTCCTTGTAATGTTTCTCCAAAGACACAGAAAGAGTGATTCCTCTTTACTCCCCCACTCCCAATGTCAGAACTACTCAAGGTTCCATCAAAGGCACTGAACTAACATCATCACCATGAGCATATGTTAGCATGACCTCAGCCTAGCTGAACCAGTGAGAACCCTGACCTTGAACCCCTGGAACCTAATGCTCCTCCAGGCCCGGCGTGCGACTGAATAATCATAGTGCACTTGAGGCATTTCTTTAGGGACTTGCCAAACCTCAGCCAATTTGGCACATCTTACCTTTCTATTTGGCCATCTGTGAGGAAAGAGAACATGTATGCACACTTCTCCCTGAAGGCTTGCTGCTCAACAGCTAACTGGTTGGACCCCCCTTTCTCTCATCTCAGTCATGTCCTCTCTGACTCCAGCAGCAGACCCTGCTGGCTGGGAGAGAAGAACTGCATTGCTAGTCTCACGACTGTGGTAGAAGGGGAGAGCTAGGGCTGCTCCGTGTAGGAGCAACAGTGTCTGCGCTGCGCTCAGAGACATCACTGAAGAGGAAGGCGAGCCTTTTCCTTAAATTATGGCCTGAATTAGAGGTAGAAACACTCCTTCCTCTACTTGCTTTCTTTTTGTTACTCCTTTAGTGTGTGAGGCGGGGGATTTTCCTGGACAAAGGCAGAGGAGTGAGGAGGGCAAGAGAAGTTACGGGCTCCTAGATTGGAATCTGTGTATAACGCTACAGTGAAAACCCAGTGGGCAAGAAAGCTGTTGGTGTTTCACAAGAGTGAAACGGGTGTCAGAAAAGTTTACTTTCAGTTCCCCGAAGAAAGCTTACTCCCAGAGAAAGCTGACAGATCTCACGGGATCTGACAGTTTCTGAATCTCTTTGTTGGGGACTGAAATAAGTTGACATATATATGACATATAAAAGTGTCATGGAAGCCACAGGTGTGCACGCCACTGAGACAAACTGTTGTTGATACCTTTTTCCACTTCCTGGTCTTCCGGGTTTCCTCTTTTGTTTCCTTGGGTTTTGTCAAGAAACACTCTGTAGGCTGTAATGAAATATAAACGAGAAAACCTTCATCTTCTCAGGATGAGGTGTCAATGACTGTTAGGAACCCCACAGCATTTTCTGCCGGGCACAGACTCATCCGAGCATCCTGGTAACAGTCCACAGAGAGGCCGGAAGGCCCACTGGAGCTGTTAGGCAGCAGCAGCTGAACCGACAGAATTTGAGAGTCAGAAAGTACAGATGACGTAGGACTGGAAAAATCTTTGAACAGAGATGAAAAGGTGCGAGTGAGTGAGAGAGTGAGCGAGTGAATGTATATGTGTGCTTGACGTGTGCAGACGAGCGAGGGAAGCCAGGGGCTGGTTTGTAAACTGCAGGCAGAAATGCATGCGCTTAAAACAGTGGCGTGGCAAGGAGAGTGAACGGTTTTCCAGGAGCTGCCCTTGTTTGTAGTAGCCACTCCTCCCCCCTTTTCAACAAGCAGAGAACATTCAAAGTAGGATGCATTTACTTACTTTTTTGTACAAAACTCGCTGTGCCAAACAGCTGTACCCACGTAGTCATTTAAAAATGACCACAGAATAAATGTTCTTAACAGTCTGAAAACAGGCTCTGCACTGCAGCACCAAGAGTGATTGTTTTGCCAGTGGCCTCCAACCCCAAGGACCCTTCATGCTATTTTTAAGCCGAGTTTTGTTCTTTAAAGTAGAAAAAGCAGGAAATTTGGACTAAAACCTTGATTTATAAACTGGAATGTGCAGGTTCCACATGTATTAATCATAAGCAGCAAAATGAAATGTTTCCTGTGCTGGATCTTTATGCAACAGTTCAAGCAGGTTGCCAAGTAAGATGTGGAATGGAAGAAGAAAGTTACATCTATTCCAAGGACAGGAGAGCTGTTCAGTCAGTTACTAGCAGCGACCTTGTTTCTATGGCTCTGTTCAAAATTATCACCATAGATGGATCTTTTTAAGAAAAAGAGCAGATTAAAGCCTGGCATGGTAACACACACCTTTAACCACAGCAGGAGAAGCAGAGGTAGGCAGATCTCTGTGAGTTTGAGACCAGCCTAGTCTACATAGTGAGTTCCAGGACAGCCAGAGCTACATAGTGAGATCCTGTCTTAAACCACAACAACAGGAAGAAGACCTGAAGATTAGGAATGCCCATGGCCTCAAATCAAAGAGGGATACAATGGTCTGTAACTTCCTTAAGACTTTGGCAACTACAGCAGTGTTCAGACATTGTTTCAATAATACTGGGATCTTTCATCCTTAGCTTCTTTACATTTTAAACAAAAAACCTGTGACTAACAATTGCTTTGCAGCCTAAGAAAATAAAGATATTGTCTTTCTTGCTCAGAAAGTTAAGCTCTCTTGTAGATTTAGATTCATGTCCATTTAACATTGGTACATGCCAATAAGAAGTTGGGCCAAGCCTGCTAATATGTCACAGGGGATGCCAGATGGCCATAAGCATCTAATTACAGAACAAGGAAGCATTGAGCGTTTCCTTCTAAGGCAAAGGTCTGGATGTAATTAGTAGAGTCCCTGACGCAGATACCGGACGAAGGCCTATAATCCCATCACTTGGGAGGCTGAGGCAGGAAGACTGCCATGAGAGCAGTGAATGAAAAATGAAATAAAGGAGGACATGGGTACTCCTAAAGCATAGGGATTTTTAGCTATAGAGAGAGATAAGGGAGAAAGTAGCCCAAGCGAAGAGTCCAGGCTGATCATGGCCAGCAGATTAAACTGGACCGTGAGAGGAGAGAGGTAGAGGGTAGCCAAGATGGTTGATAGAGATCCAGCTGGGTGAAGGGAAGTGAAGCCCCACCTATGGGAGGGAGAGGTTTAGGGTAGTGGGCAGAGTGAGGAGTGCTGGGAGGAGCCACAGGCACTGAGTGAGATTTGTCCTGGGTTTGAAGCCTCATAGTTAGTTCATAGTAAGTTCCAGTTCACCCATGGAGGGAGGGAGAGAGACATGGGCAGGCAGGGAGGAGGGAGGCAGACAGACAGACAGACAGAGACAGAGACTTTGTCTCAAAACAACAACAAAGACAACCAAACCAGCACCACAACCACCAAAACAAAACAGAACAAACAAACAGAATTCTGGCATTAGTTTTGTTGACTATTACGAAGGTTGTAGGGAAGCGGATATAGACACCTATAATGTTTTCTTATTCAGCATATGGACCTATTCTCTATAAGAAGTTTTAATGTGCTGATTACAGATTAATAGGTTTAAAAGAAGATTAATTCAATCAGGAAATGAGTTAAAGCTAAAAACAAGCTCACTTATTAAGGGTATAACTAACTCATCAATTCTGGAGTTAAAAATAATGATGCAAATCTGAATCACAATTAGATGAAAAGACAACCCCATATTCCTGCTATGTATAGTGGCACATGCCTTTAATCACAACAGAGGCAGAGGGAGAGGCCAGAGGCCAGAGAGCAGAGCTGGTGGATCTCCAAGGCCAGTGTAATCTGAATCCAGGGCAGCCAGATACACAGTCTGTCACAGACAGACAGACTTGTTTGATAATTTTTTTAGAGCTCTGTACCGGGCTTAGACTTTGGTTTCAGATTCTTAGATCATCCTAAAGGAAATGCAAAGCACTTATTTTTTGGTATCTGTTTGTTACCTTTGGCTGGTTGTGGTAAGGTGTGTAGAAGGAAGCCATATTTATTGGGTTGACTTCCATAAAGGTGAAATGGTTTGGGGAGAAATTCAGATTCAAATCATAGTAGTGAAAATTCCTAAATTAAGACAGCTGTCTTATAATGGTTGCTGTCTACCCTTGCAGACAGCACAGAAAATATGGCAGACTTAGATCAGGCCACTCTCTACTCCTAGAAGTCACTTCCATAGGATAAGACCTAAACAACTCATAAGTGATGTCCTATCTTTATAATAGTCTTAAGTTATGTATTCTGAAGAATCATGTGTGTTTAGTATATACAAAAATAGAAACACGCATTTTTCTTTTACAGACAGGGCCTTGCTATATAGTCCTGGCAAGCTTGGGGCTCACTATGTAGACCAGGCTGCCCTCAATCTCACAGAGGTCCTTTTATCTCTCATGTACTGGAATTATAGGACTGCACTACCATATCTGGGTTTAAAAAAAAAACTTCATTTAATTAACATTTTTTCATTATTTTACACAATCACCACAGTTTCCCCTCTCTCTTCTCCTCCTGTTCCCCCCCCCACTCCCCTCTCCATCCACAACAAAAAGACATTACTGCAAAAGATGTTATATCAGAAGGGAAGAATGTGCAGAAGAAAAATAATGTAAGAATGCCCTTCCAGGACTACAGGAAACCTTGTAGAACATTTACTACTCTACGGAAAGCTCATCAGAAATATGGTACAATGGATAAGAGTAGAACTGCACACTGTGGGATTTATGATAACTGTGGATAAAGAAAAGATTCTAAGAATTTACAAAAAGAAAATTAACTGTACAACACAAAGGAACAGATCTGAGCACATGCTTTCAGGAAAGTTCCCTGGATTGTCCTATCACTGGCTATGCCCAGAGTGATCCATAGCATTATCTCCACTGATGCTAGCCAGGAGAGCTGACCCAGCCATGAGGAGAGGTATGGAGAGCCCCTGTGATGGGAAAGCAGCTGGAAACATGGGGCAGAGCAGAAGTCACATTGCCTTTAGGGTCCTCAAGAGCTCTGGGAGGGAGGTGGGATCAAGTGGCTACAAGTGATCATGAATAGGAGCTGTGGCGTAGGGATGAGGATGAGGAAGGCGAACATCTACTGTGGTACAGATCACTGTATCCTTCTCCAGGGCCTCCTTTGTTGGAAGACCACACCCTAGGACCAGCCATCAGAGAGCTTGCAGCTCATCCCATTCTGTCCTGAGGTACGTGACTATTCACAGTAATCAGCCAGCTCTATCCACAAACCACGGATGACCACCACGGGGCTAGGGAGGGACTTCAGAGCCAATAGCTGCTATGCTCACAGTGACTGTCACCTGTTTGGTTTCCTCTGATGATGGCTCAGGAACTGGGGCTGTGTCCCGCTGCATCATTTCTGTGTCTTCTCCTTCCTTGCCACCGGATGGTTCTGAAAGGAGAGAAAACGTTCAACAGTTAGAGAGTGCCTCTCCCCCGCAGTGCAACCTTGGTAACACCGGCTTAGATTTTAACTTCTTGACTTCAGAATCCTTCCTCTAGAAGGTGACTTGAATGGAAACTTTCTAATTTGGAGACTGATTTAAGCATTCAGATGCCACTCTTGTTTATAATTTCAAAAACTAAAGATCACCTAACAGTAGGGAACATTTTATTATGTGGTACAGTTTGGGTCTGAAATGTCCCCTATGGTGTGATCCAACAGGGTGGGGTGGGGGTAGTGTGTGGCAGTCCCAGCATTCAGGAGGCAGAGGAAGAAGGGTATTTGTGGGGGTTTTTATTTTTTTTATTTTTGTCTGCATGTCTGGTGTTCAACAAGGTCAGAAAAGGGCAGATAGCCTGTACTGGAGTGATGAATGGTATGAGCCGCCATGTGGGTGCTAGGAACTGAACCCATGTCATTTGCAAGAGCAGTAAATGGCAACTGAGCCATCTCTCCAGCAAACTTACCTTGTGAAAATGCTAAATTTATTTTTTCAAGACAGAGTTTCCTGTTTAACAACCCTGGCTGTCCTGGAACCTGCATTATAGACCAGGCTGGCCTTGAACTCCACTTGCCTCTGTGCCACTATGCCTGGCTCTAAAAACGTTAAATTCCTAATGCAAATATTTTCACATACTACTGTTAGCTTTAACACTAACTTTAAGACAAAAAGAATAACCTAAATATAAAGAGAGGGGGGAAGAGTTTTGGACTCTGTATTTCTCCATCCCCTAGAATTTGCTAGCTGCAAAATATAATCTACGTTTTGCTAATCTAGTTGAAATAGATAATATAGTTAGAAGACTCTATGCCCATGAGAAATATTTAAAATACCTTGTTAATCAAATACTCTGAATCTCAGTTACTTCTTGCTCCAAAAATTACTTCATCTTTTGAAACCTTTAACATAAAATGAGATCACCTAGCCACTGTGGCTTGAACACTTTAGCTGTTTCCTTGGCTTGACATTCTTTGGTTCCAAAAGAGGAAACTGCTCCTCTGAAGTGAGGATGGTGGCTCTGTGATTTCCATTAAGAGAACAGTGAAAAGAAAAGTATAGCGGCCCAAGCTAGCCAGTTCTTCAGGGCTGCCGGGATGTGAGGTGACTCCAGGCCTGTCCCACTCAGTCCCAGTGGGTCATTCAGCCTGTGAAGCAGAGGCACCAAGACAGGGCTGCATTTCTCCAACTCCCCGAGGACCATTAAAAACCACACAGCCAGATGGGATTGGTTGAATTTTTCCAAAAGAGGAAGCAAGGACATCGTCCTTTTCAGACCCATGGCAACAGTATCAATTACAAACAGAAGGCTGCTCAGTTTTCTCTCAGCGTTTGCCTTAATCTCCCTGTAAGTATCTAAAGTCCAATTTCCCAGCATCAAGGCCTAGAGATGGATGCTGACTATGGCTTGATACAGTCAACTGCTCTTTAAGGGTTTGTGGAGGAATGTTATTTAAATCACAACCCATTCTTACTATGATGGCTATTCTTGGCTGTCAACTCCACTATACCTGGAATTAACAAATTCCAAGCAGAGGGGCACAACTCTGAGGGATTTTTCTTAAATCATTTGAAGTGGAAGATCACTTTATCCAATCCAGATCTTTTGAGGAGGAAGATCTGCCTTTAATCTGGACCATCCCTTCTGGTGGCAGCCTAAATAAAGAATATGGAAGAAAGAAGCTTTTGCTCTTTGCCTGCTTGCTCTCATTGGCAAGTTCGTTTTCTTCACTGGCATTAGAGCCTACTTCTGGCTTATAGTGAAGAGCAGCTGTGACACCCCGCCTCATGGGCCAAACTGGATTCTTGGACTTTCTGTTGGCAGATAGTCATTGTTGAACTAGTTGGAACATAGCCACTAAACAACTCTAATAAATTATATATATATTACAACTTAGTTTCTGTATTGTCTTGCACAGGAATCTGCAAACGTGAGGTAAATGACCATCCAGAGGGTAGGTGATTGGCTGCATAGCAGTTGTGCTAGTAGGCACAGCACTTATGGCCACTATTGGTGTTGCTCAAACCTGCTATTGTGCATAAGAAGTTTTAGGTACAGTAGAGTGAATGCAAGTAGTTGGGGTCTGATAAACTTTACAGTAACATTTTTACTGGATTTGGCCATGGGTCTTAGTTTGCCGAACATTGACTTACTACATGAAAGTTAAAAATAGAAAGAGGTTTCAAGGTTTTTTTTTTTTTTTTTTTTTTTGTAAAGTTTCTAATTGTTTGATAGATGCTCCTGTGTATGATCATAGATAAACCTGTTTTGATTTTTTATTGTTTATTTGAGTCAGGATCTTGCCATACATCCCAGGCTGGCGTCAAACTCATAATCTCTCTGCCTTAGGGTCTTTCTCGGTCTATTTTATTTATTCATTCATTTATTATGCTTGAATTTTGGCCTGCATGTATGAATGTGCACCATGTACATGCCTGGCACTCTGGAGGTCAGAGGCGGGCATCAGGTCCCCTGGACCTGGAGTCACAGATGTGTTTGAGCTGCCATTGGGCGCTGGAAACAGAACCCAGGTCCTCTATGAGAGCAACAGTTGCTCTTAACTACTGAACTACCTTGAAAATCCCCCGTCTTAGTCTCCTGAGTGGTGGCAAACTGGTGTGTTTTGGGACTTTTCTGTTCATGAACACTCATCTCTTAATCATTTACACACCTATGAAGAACTCTTCACTTCATTTTGAACATGCCAATTTTTAGTGTTGATTCTAACAATTTTTTTTCCTTTTTTTAATTATACACACCCTAGGTATAGTGGCACATGGCAGTTCGGGAACTTTTAACGGCTTCCTGTTCAATTGCTCCCAGATAATTATGTTCTGACTTTGTTTTCACCTGGGGAGCAGTAACCTTTCTTCTGTATTTCTAAGTGTTTGGCTGTTCTCTGGGAAAGCTACATCACATGAACTGAGAAGTAATGCTGCATATAGAGTCTTAAACGCTCTAAAGAGTTTCCCTACAATTACTCATCCCTTGGAGCCAGATTGTTTTACTTGGCCAGGAGGACCAGGGCTCAGAACTCTCTTCAAGAACCATGTTCCCAGCTCATTAAGAGACTCCCAGCAGCATCACTAAGCAAAGCACACGTTCCCACACTTGGACCATGCAGGACACAGTGAGGGGAGGGGATGGGAGAGGAAGGGTTGCAGACTCAAGTCCCAGTCTATTATGCCAGCATATCATATCCGGCCACTGTGATAGGGCTGTTCAACAGAGCAGGCTGGTGTCGTCTTGCCATGCTTGGCCATGCCGGTCTAGGGTCTACGTGTCTGGATGCTGGAGCTCCAGAAGTCTTCTGAAGGCTTACATTGATTTATGGGGCTTCATGCTGAAATAGCTTATGTCATCTGTGCCTCATCCTCACTGGCTCTTACGTTTCCTCTTTTGTCTTCAACTGGGCAAGATCTAACCATCTCTATCTCTTATTAAGCGCCTTCTTCTTCCAAAAGATCTGACAGAAGAAATGTTTTAGGGCAAAGGTCTGAGCCGGTACTCTGTTATGCAACATTCTTTGGTCTTTTGAACGTGGGACAATTCCAAATGGGGAGTGGGAGCAAGTCTCCCCCCCCCCCCGCCCCCATTAATTGTCATTTCTAATGGCAACAGCCACAGTTTCATACAAATTCCAACAATGGTTCTACTTCAGTCTGGGATGTCCCTAGCAACAGATTTAGAGCCTTGCTTACAAAATATGCTGCACTTCCCACAGGAAACTTAAAAGCCAAAAATTTGGAGCAGGGTAGCAATGCGTGAAACCAAGTTGCTTTCTGGGCCCTGACATTCTGAGAGAGATAGAGCATTCGCAACAAGAGCTCCTTGGAAAGAAGCTGGCTGAAGAAAGTCTGAGCTGCTTAAATGCTAATGTTTCTCCTGCCACTTTTAAATCAGCTGAGCTAAATCCTGGTTGTTATCTAAAAGGCTGACTGCCCTAGTTTAGTAATATTCTGTGTATTTCTTAAAAAAAAAAAAAAAGTCAAAGATGACTCTGGCATAGTAGCACATGCCTTTGATCATAGTACTTGGGAAGCAGAGGCAGTTAGGCACTCTGTAAGTTCAAGGCCAGCCGGGTCTACATAGACAGTTCTAGGACAGTCAGGGCTACATATTTACTTACATACACACAAGAGTAAATATGTATTTATTTTCTATGTACATGTGTTCTTGCTTATCTGCACGTGTGCCACATGTGTGCAGGTCCCTGTGGAGTCTAGAAGAGCCAGGTGGCTCCCCTGGAACTAGATGTCCTATCTGTGAGTTAATACTTGATGTGGGTGTTGGGACGTGAGCTTGGTTCTTCTGCAAGAGCAGCAAGTGCTCTAAGCCATTGAGCCATCTCTCCAGCTTCCTCAATGTCTTTCTTTGTGTAAAATACACACAGAAAATGCTCTTTGCAAACCACTAGCCCATTCCAGGGCCAGAGCCCTCACTTAGCCTGTGGATTCTCATGCTCCCATCTGGCCTCAGTGACAGGGGGAAGAGCCTTCTATGCCCAAAACTTGGGGCCTCAGGACTTCTGTTACCTTTGTGACCAACATTACATATATGTCATATGAGAACCAGGGGACAGTTTTTCAGGTAGAATCATGAAAAAGCAGCCCCCACCCCGAATCCTACTTTGTTTTTAGCTGCAAGAGGTAAAGATAAGTTGGCTCAAGTGACATGGCTCCAAACTTCAGTGCCGTATGTTCATGGTCCTTTCTAGTCTGCTTTAGCCAGAAATATCTGTACATTTAGTTCCAACTGCCAAATTGTGATCTAGGTGAACAGGCTGTGAATAACAGTGGTAGCATTCTGCAACTCAGTATTTTGGCAGAGTTTACTGGATGAGTATATTTGGTGCATCTGGAAGCACTGTATAAATTCTCCCTTCCTAGACTATAGTGCAGTAACAAGGGCAATGCTTATATAATCCGTGTTTTCATACAAGACACTTCT